CACAGTGTGAATGTCACGTGATGGCGAATGCTTCTGTGGCCACTCAGCCACGAAGGTCAGTCACCATGTTAAAATTAAATGTGCATCCAATGTGGGGACCCATGGGTCCCTAAATGCATATGCAGCCACAAAGGCAGACACATACTGTGAATTCTGATCATACTCAAAGAAATTACTCATGGCTGTGTTCTTCCCAGCTCCATCTTTTATCTTGACCGCCGTGTATTCACAGACAGTGTAATCCCAACTCTGCCATGTCTCTAGTGAACCTCTCACGAGGAGCTTTTATGTAGTCAAATTAATGCAGTTGTTCTTTTCAGGTAAATAGTTAAACACACAAGACTCCAATCACATTTGAATGGTTGCCACCATTTCGTTATGGGACTGCGATAACAGTATTAAAATGTGTGGGAGTTATCACCTTAGATGACCTTCAAAAAGACAGGAAGTTTGTGAGGCATTCTGCGAGACAAAAAAATTCATTGGTTAATACGACAGAATGGGACGTTTTATCATTTTCCTTTATATGGAGAGGTAGAACACATAAGAGAGCATCACAACTGTCAATCCTGTTCCCATTTGGTGACAATGATGACATGAGCCTTGTTCTTTACTTTCAGTCAGTATAATTAATATTTCATTTTTATCCTGATTGAATAAAAAAACTTAGTAGCTAAAGACATAAAACCTCTTGGACTAGTGGTCCCAGCACTGAGCCATGTGGAACATCACAACCTTTGTTTTCATATGAGATCATTTAATGCATTTTGACAAAGAACTCTTTGTCATGACGATAAAATAAAAAAAACAATAAACGTGTGTGTTCAGTCAGACTACTCAAAACCATTTGGTGAACGTATGCTAAGTGTATGACTTAAACAAAATGAATGAAATGTCAGAACAAATATTGTGACGTTCTTTCTCTTCCATATACAAATGCACGCGGATTATTGTATGCTTGAGTGTATCTTTCCGTGAGTAGTCTGAGTGTATCTGTTTTCATTTTTTTCTTGGAAGCAGTAGCAAGTGGAGGGCAAGAATGGAAGTATGTAGGAGCAGCATGATGATGGATGGGTGTGGAGATCACCTATTTGTAGAGCAAAGGCAAAGATTTTCTTTCCAGAAATCTCCTGTCGGCAACCGAGCAACTTAGAGAACATTGATTGACGCAGTGCTATGTGGCATGGGAATCAATCCAGGCCAAAGAAAAGGTCTTCTCCTGAAGCTTATTGTCGCTTGTTTATCTATTTAATTTTATTTCTTTTTTTGCTGAAGATGCTGCAACCTCTGGATTGGGTTCATCAAATACTTGTATTCACTAATTCATGCATCTCATTCATTCATTCACTAATTCATGCATCTTCCATTCAACCTTTGCAAACCGTTTGCAAAAAGATGGAGATAAAAGATGGACCCTTATATTCTCTTCCTTTCTTATTATTTTTACAGTAGCCATCATCTATCATGACGGATACACTGATTGATAGCTGATAAGATAGATGTCATTTATTCTCATCATATGATCCATCTCTCCAAGTAATGTATTCTTTATTTGTCCAATCTGCATGTACAGTCTTTAATTCTTTACCGTATTTAATTATTCTGTAATTTATTCCTTTATTGTTCTATTCTTCTTAAACTGGATCATTTTTTTGGCACAGGCTTTGTTATGGACTGGTAGAGATATTCCATGACCTAGTGATGATGATTTTGCTGCTTTACTGATTTGCCACTGAAATAATCACTGCAATACTCAATCAATCAATTCAGGAATTCCCCCCCGTATGTTGGAGGGATTCAAAATAGTGACCTTGTGGTTACAAGCCGACAGATGAACGGCCTTAATACTTCCAGCCCTCAGCCTAACATGTGCATTTGTGAATACGTTTTCAGCATGCTTCTCTCTGTGTGTGGACTGTACGTTTGTGCCAAACTATTTTTTTTAGAGTTTGAGTGCATCCTAGCAACATCTTCCTCCCTCCTCTGCTGCCGGGGAATGCAGCAGCAGTGGAAGGCTGTAATACACTACGGATCTGCACCCTATAGCATTTAGCCCCTTTGACCCAGAATGCATCCTCATTTCCTCAGAGTTTTTCTCCTCTCTTGCACTGTGCTAATAGCAGAAACCTATTGGAAGCTCTCTGACTCAATGAGACATAACAGTGGAGACCCAGTGTAAAATCCCCTGTCCCGTTGCTAAGGGGGGGGGATGAGGAGAAACACCTCCGTTTCTCTGATTGAAAACACGTTTGTCTACTACAATTTCTCATCTGTTACTGTCATGTTTATGTTTATTTACCTCCCTCAGAGGGACTGAAGTTTAGATAACGAGTGAATGCAATTTCCTGAGTGTAATAGCGGTAGTTCAGAACAGGGATCTTCTCCAGTATGCAAATGAACACAGGTGAGGATATCCGATAATGCAGTCCTCCAACACTGGAGCAAGTCAACCATTCTTTATACTACTTTTCCTAGATATTTCTTTGTTTAACAATCCACACAACGTTTATTAATTTTCTCTCGCAGAGTCATTACTAAGGATTTATTTCTGATCATTGGTTTGCTCTTTGCCTCCCAGTCTTAATCAAACTCGTACTCACACAGCAATAGGGAAGTTAAAAAAAATGACAAACGGCGATTACCATCAAAATAATTGCCTGCATACATTTGTTCCACCTCTGTGAATTTCATATTATTTCCCTCCATCAGTCACGCGGCCCTGATGTTGAAGACCGCAGTTCCTTTCGAAGCCGTGCACTCATTCAGAGACACTTGTCTGCGAAACGGTTGGGGGTAGTTTGGAGAAGCTGTAGCTAGAAGAACAAACTAATTAAGCAATTTTCTCTACCCACTAAATAATCAACAAAAGAAGTTTTTTTCCCCCCATAGTCACCAACTGCACGCACATTTGCAAGCCAAGCATTCACTGCTAATGAAAAAACATTTGGTAACTATAATATAATATCTGTTTGTTAGTTATCAATATATTGGTTACGAACAATGTGGGAAATACTTAATTCCTGGACAGCGAATTGATCTTGGTCATGGCATGGTGCAGATTAGTGTGTCGAGCGTTGCATGTCCAAATACACCATGTGTGCTGGAGTCATTCCAATATGGTGGAGCCCTCTGGATGGTGCCGAGGGTCTCTTGTGAAAGTGTTGAGCAGAGTTTTTTGTTTTTTTGTTTTTGTGTGTGTTTGGGAGTGTGAAAGCTGCTCGAGTCCAGCCGGAATTAGTGAAAACATCTTGTCTCACTTGTTTACCACACACACAAGCATCTTGTTTCCATTTGCTTGTTACTTAAACTCAACCCTTTTGTTTGCAATTCCAGATCAGTTTAATGCAAAACAGCGCGTAGCACGATGATGAGTGCGGCCAAAATGATATCGACATGATGACATATTTCCTGCATTCATTCATTTCTAAAGCTAATGATTCATAACACATGTGCCTTATATTTTTAAGGACTACTGTATGTTATTTGAGATTTCTTGGATATGTTAAAACCTAAATTTGATTTATTTTGGTTCCAATTTCATCATGCCACCCGGTATGAAGTTGAATGCCCATGTACTTGTATCTTACTTGAACAGTCTCAAGATGTCCCTTGTTTGTCGTTACAACCGCTTTGCTTTGTTTGTTGGCTTGTCCACTGCCGACTTTGCCAGAAGCACCTTATTGTGCAAGAACATCTGAGACGCGGCCTCTTCCTAGCCGAGTGATGCCCCTCCTATGTTGAACACAGGACTCATTTATCTCCATCACTCCCACTGCACGTGCAGAAAGAGAGCGCAGTTTGGGTGTGGGGCTTTTGTGGGTAATGCCACCAACTATTATCCAAGGAGCATAATTTAATCGGGCTTTTGTAGGGCAATATTGTATTTGGCTGTTTCAGCGAGGTGCTTGCGGGGCGCCTCGTGTACGATTATGTGTCTCATCGGTTTCAGCCCTATGTCAGTAATCTGTTTGTGAGGAGAGAGCACACAAGCTCTGTAACTAATGCAAATCTGCTACTGGGCCTCACTTTGTCTTTCCTCCCCGCCATCCATCTCTCTGCGGCTTTCTTACATCTTTATTTGTCCTTCTATCTTTTTTCCACCGATCGTTCTGACATAAAAGTCAGGGTTAAACATCTTCTGAACTCCCGCAAAATAACTATCGGAACCACCCTGACTGTCTGTAAGCGTGTGTCTGTGTGCAGATGTGACAACGTGTATCAATACTTTGAAAATAACTCGATGACAACCATTGAATGGATGATACATATTTTGATGGAGTGACGACTTACCAAAATCTTTGATGAATTATACAAAAGGGGCTGCTGTCCCCTACAGGGTTTAAAAACCCGGTTGGATTCAGCATTATGATGTTAGCGAGACATAATTGATCCTGTCTTGGATTGAGAGAAAGAAAATGAGTGGTGAGTAATAATGGCTAACAACCGTCGTCCGACTAATGTTTTTCATTAACAAACAGACATCGACTCGCACCCCTAAAAGCTAAAAAAATAATCGTTAACGTTCTTCCTCCTCAAAGCAATCAAAAAAGCCTCTTTGTCCATTGAAGGTAATAATGACATCGCTAATAGGGTTTGTAATAGCGGAAATTTAAATGTTTTCCCCAATTAATGATTAAGTCTGTGGCCAATTCATAAAATGTGTCCTTGAGCTGAAGTGCATTGATGTTGTTTCAAATGTTAACCATAGGACCTTGCGAATTTTCCACTATGTTTTTTTCTTTTTTTTTTTTTAACCTTTCTCTTGTTCTTATGTTGTGTACGTTTAAAACAAGTTTGCAAAGTATCTCATCCATGTGACAGAAGTCGGCCCTCTTTTAGGTTGAAGCTGTATTTTTTTTTCTGTCGGCAACTAAAAATCACAACAGGAGGCTGGTAACATAATTGCTGAATTAGTTGCATCCAATAGAGATGAAACCGTTAGGTACCCAGAAGCCCTGTGTTTACATACATTGAGCGTGTGACCTCTCTCTTCTCCTCAGAGATCCTGAACGGAGGTCTGTATGTGGACCAGAACAAGTTCCTGTGTCATGCGGACACAATCCATTGGCAAGATATTGTCAAAAACCCCCGGATGCATCCTCTGGTGGTGCCCACAAACAGCAGCGTCACATGTGAGTAACCCAACCAATACAAGTGAGAAAAACATAAAGACTTGAGTGAACTTCGGCCTTTATTTAAAGGAGGGTTTTGTTTAGCGCATTTAAGTTGCCCCTCATCCAGATGGTTCTAATAGTTCACAAACTGTACAAAATCACTGAATGCTTTTAATAGCACTAACTTATTCAGCTATACACTATATTATATAGACTTTCATATTCAATAGTCATCAAGGATATTTGTTTTTTTTGCAATATATTTTATGCAACGCAAAAAAAAGAGCTTGCAGCGTTTATTACAAACGTATTTATTCATTTCCTACAACACAACTTGACCACCAAGAGATAAATACCAACAAGTAGTGTTAAGATGTGAGCTTCAAATAGGGATGAGCAGCAGGCTACAGAAAACTTTTGTTTTCACTTGAACAGACGTTTTTTTTATCTTCTATATTAAACTTTTTTTCAGCTTCAACCAGCTCTGCCTTAAGCAAATATGACTTTCATCCGACCTTGCGCATTTCCCTCCGATTTTTGGTACCGGGTGAACAGAATTTGATGACTCATTTGGAGTAAACAAAACTTGAACGCTTTAAACTTTCAGTTGTTGAGTTTTTATACGCCTTTCATGAGGCAGCATTGGCTGTCAAGTTGTGACAAGGGAAACGGTCCAAAGGAAACCCGCTTAACCTGCTCCATGGACAATGCAGCGAAACATCGTCATTACTAAACCACCCGTTGACCCAATTCTGTCATTCTGCTTACCAGAACAAAGCACCGCGGCGTCACTTTAATGGCCCAACGGAGCCAGGATGATGTGTTAATAAATGCTTCAAATCATGAAAAGATTTGTTTTAGTAAAATAATCATAGTTAATCCGGTTGGGTGGATGATGGTTGAGGTGTCTGTCAGCGAGGTAAAGATTTCCACTTTACTTAACCTCTTAACACGCACTCCTTTTGTTATTCATTTACCGCTCAAGCTGTTTGACATTTTAATCCGTTGTTGTTGTTGTTGTCTTCTTTTCTTTAAGCTGTCTCGTTTCTCCGCAAATATATAATCACACGACTGTAAGATGCATTTTCATTATGGGAGAAAATAAAAGGACAGCCTCTGCACATGCCCTCGGATTTTCTCTCGCGGCACTGGCTGAAGGCTTCAAATGCAGATCAACGGCTCCGATCATTGATATTCTGCTCAATCACCCTGCTCCCTGCAGCCCCGTTAGCCCCGGTTCAACCCTCACTCCTGTGCAAGTCTTCCACTCTGCCAAAAGATCAAGGGTCTCCAAAGCTGTAATCCACAATTGAGAACATAATCTTCTTCAGCAAGACCTGAGATTCAGGCTGTTATTACTTGTGACTTATTTGTGCCACTAGTTGTTGTTGTTGTGTTCATCGGTTCTCTCAAATATAGGACATGTCTTTGATTCCCCGTCCCGTTGATCCAGTTGGAAACCTGGCATCCGGTCGTTTTTTTTACTTCCAGCCCCCACACGGCTGCGTTCTCGACAGTTTGACCTTATCGGCTGTTTTAAGAAAGCTGTAAAAGATGATGGTGCGGGAAGAGAACTGGACAGGTTTAATCAAGGTCGCTCAGAATTTATAAGATGATAAAGTTAAGACCTCGTACACTAAAGGAAAGCTCTTTGTCTTGACTTCATGGGGCAAACAGAGATATTACTAAGTGCATCTTGGGTCAGATGACCACTCGTCGCTGGCTGACATTTGTAGCATGATCCGGTTTGTCTGCTACTTTTCATCCGGCCGAGGCTGTCAACCTCTCAAGCGCTGTCAACGTTCTAGTTCCTAGCAGAACAGTCAGACTGGGGGGAAAAAAGACAGGAATGGAACGCTAAGTGAAAAAGAAGAGCGATGAATCGGCAAAGGGGTGGATTGAAGATGTGTGGTGAAGAGGGTCACAAACGAGGAAGAGGAGAAGGGAAGAAGATGGAGAGGCTTTCGGTTGGGGATGGAGTATCCATGCTAATAGCTCTCATCTGGAGAGGCTGATGGACAGAGGACAGCACTTGTGCACTTATCCAGGCTCACTTCCCCCACAGTCAATTACTACACAGTCAATTAAGTCCTCCAAAAAAACACAAAAAAAGCGGAAAGGCTCTAAGGGTATGATGCTGCTTCCTGCTGCTTTACTGCTTTTATTCCCACCTTGTGTGTGCCAGTTTAATGCTGGGCTGATTTATAGAGACACACATTTACTTATTTTCACAAAACAACCTGTTCCAAGGTTATTTCATTTTCTTTTAAGACTGGAACAGCACGTACCAATCAGAGCGGCTTTGTTGTTACTAAAAGATGACAAGTTTCACCATCTTTGTTGAACAATAAGAGTACCTGTTGAATATACATTTGAGTGAAATCAAATATAAGGGTAGAAAACTGTCATTTGAATAGAACTCATTAATAAATATGCCATCATCATACAGTGTAATCAACCACAAAGCAGGCCTGTAATGTCATTAAGCGCCGTTATTTCTAATGTATTGAGTTCTTTATGCCAGATTACAATTATAAGGAAGATCAGGCACCAACGAAGCGCACACGCACATCATGTGTGCGTAAAGGGGAGCCAAGGCATCAATTTGGGTGTCACAGGAGTTCATGATGGTAGACGCGGTCAGCTTGGGTTCAGCTAATATGGACTTTAAAGGCTCATACTGATCATATTTTGTGAATAAGTAACTGTTTGCTAATGTGAAATGCCAATCATCTCTTTCCTTGAACTTGTGTGCAGGTCAAAAGTGCAATCGTTCCTGTAACGGCCGTTGCTGGGGGCCGAAAGGTGACCAGTGTCAGAGCTGTAAGTTCATTACTTTTATTAGCTCAAGACTCCGCATGGCATTTTAGTGGCTTGCTCTCTCCTCCTCCAAGGTACTTTTGTCAGTATGCAGATGATCTAAGCACATGTTTGGATCTTTGATGAATACAATTGATTTTGTTTCGGAATTCCTCCCTTTACATATGCACTGCTGTCTTGTTTTTTTTTACATATATCTACACCTGCATATACTTGTCTGACACTAAAAGTATTCTGAAATTATAACCAACTAACATCTGATTTTGAGTAAATTGGTTTGTTTGGTGGATGGGTAGGACTGTTCTAATCTCCCTTTGCTATTTACCTCTGTCAAAGCTTCAAGTTATGCAATTTAAGGGAGTTGCTTTGGGTCAAGAATTCGTGAAAATGGTGCGAATTTTGTTTAAAGGTACCAAATCATATTAGTTGAACTGCCTGAAATCCAACCTGCACAATTTATTTGGTCACTAATATGCCTTTGATGATGAATCCCATGTGGTATTTGTTGAATTTAGTGTTGAATATTGTACTTCACTCTGATGTGTTTTGGACAAACATGAGCCTGAAGATTAGCTCATTTTCTAATTTCAGCTGGCTCATTCACAGCGATGTGGCTTGTTGTGATAAAAAAAACTATTAACCCAAGTGCACATGGACAAAACCCCCTAACTGTACACGTTTAACTATTACTCTCATGATCCCATTTAAAGCCAACTCGTTTGCATGAATATTGCTCCATAAAAAGAAGGTCTTGCGTTTCCTTGGGCAACGCAGAAGATGCATTTCTTCACTTTTTTTTGCCATGTCCTTTCTAACTAATTGTGAAATAATATTCCTAATATCTTGGCTGACATTTACATTGGCGGAACAATTTTTTTTTTGTCAATGACATTTTCAGTAAAGCAAGCATTTCGAAAGCCTGTGTAAGCGTATTAAAGTACCGCTGACCTAAGTGAACGAATGTAGTCCCAGTTTATTTGACTTATGGAATTCATAGTGCGAGAACAGTTTGGTTATAAGTTTGTAGGTGGCTTTCAGCCTCGTAAAAAGGCCCCGCTTTGGACATTTATTTCACAAGCCCGTAATTGCTGTGGAGATGCCAGAACCTCAGGCACACACACGCACATATCAACGCCTTAGTTCCCCGGACCCCCAACACGTCTTCCACAAACCTTCCTGCTGGGAACTCCCATTTTTCACACTAGCTTATTGCAGCTGCGACAGAGTGTGAGAATGATGCACACTCCCTTAGTCCATCCCCAGGGAGTGTGCATCCATGTTATTTCCCTGTCATTCAGTCCTTTGCCTGCGTCAGTGTCACTCTCTCAGCCCCCCCCCTGTTTTTGTCTGCTTTGCGCACAGTGTACAGAACACACAGTGTACATGTTGAACGGCCAGTTTAAGGCCATCATACTCACGAATAAAGGGGAGAAAATATAATATCCAGGTCCCAGCAGGTCCTCTAAACTAAACCACAGGAAAGGTCACAGCACCTAATGTTTTCCTTAATCTTTGATAAATATCTACCACGCTGTGTTGTTTTGCTTCAGTCTCTCAGGACTGGATTGGCAAACTCATTATATTACTGGAGAAATATGGCCTGCTATATCCAACCTTTCATCGTCATGCGGTGTTGTTTTAAGCTTTTTTATTACCATGCTAAACCCTTAAAAAGACTGAAGATAATTAAAGTCGCCACAGGATGGTTTAATACAAATAGATTAGTAATTTCCCTTTGCACTAAATGCATATCCTTCTAATGCAACTTAAAAATAGTAATGCCAGACATTTTCTGCCTAATTTTGGCAAATTATTCATCCACATACAGTATTGTGGTGATTCTAGAACAATGTAGACTTTTACCTTGGCACCTCTAATTTCTCTTTCCTCACATTCTATGCCGATTTATAAATGGCTTTTAGAAATATTTCATATAGCTTCCGTTAATGCAAGAGAAATGCATCCCCATAATTTACAATGTCAGGCTCCGTCCCTGGTTAAAAAAAAACAACACTGCATCTACATATGTAGGAAGGGGGGGTCTTGTGGCAAAAAGCACATGCTTTTTTGACCTTTCCAGGTAAACCAGGACCTTTTATCAACAAACCATGCTGTCCTTTGCTTTTATTTTGATACTCCCTCTCCGGGAGGTCAGGATGTTGCTGTCATCCCATGAACAACATAAACGCTAATTCTGGAATGGTCATCCAGTGTAAAATCAATGTTAAAGTTAATGTTAAATCAAATAAATGGTTAAATCAAATAAATGGTTCAAAAACAAGTTTGTTAGTTAGTGCACAGATATTTACTGTCATCTTTATCTACAGATGTCCCATTACTCTGCAGGCACACAAATGCAAGGAAGCGTGTTGACAGAACATGGACTATACAATTAGTAGTATACCACATGATTAAACTTCTCAACCCTACATAGGAACATCATGTACATGCAGGCGAAAGAGCTCACACACACAGTTCTCGTTTGTCCATTAATTCTCTGGTTTTATTGTGCTATCCTTGCCATCAGTTGCCTTCGCTCTTTCCTTCACTCCGTGCACAGAATACTTCATCTTTTCCTTCCAAAACCCTGGCTTGTCTCATCGTATTTGTCCTGTGGTGGCGATCTCATTAAGATAATGCGAAATGAACTGTTAGACCAGGACTTGTTACCAACACGCCACGGACTCGACCCTCGATAAGCCGCGTCCGTCTGCCTCCTTTATCTCACCATCTTCGTCTTGGATGTCATGATTCATAATTTTTGTTCTTGTTCTACCTCACAACCCCTCAATTATATTGTGCTGAAATACGTGTACATGGAAAGAAAAAGTCTGAAAATGTCAAAAGAAAGACCACTTTGATCATAACAAAGATTAAATTTCAATGGTTATGGTATGATAGGTTTTTTTGTGTTTCTTAGACCTGGATTTCTTGTCGCAATGATAATGTTTCTCCGAAAGGTCACTGATGTTGCCAGCTGCATCGGGTGAGAACATACCTCCCTACATTTAATTCAATAAAAAAATGCACAGTTGCTAAAGATGACGGCCGCACGCTTCCTCCCTGTTCTCAACAGCTGTCATATCTACGTCACCAATTCACACGTCGCCAGATCTTTAAGCACTGAACCCTGAAACCGCTGTCAATTACTCACTACAAGCGATCCCTTTGTCACTGAAAATACAGTCACCACATACTGTAGGACCGACACTAAAAGAGATCATTTGAGTAGTTATGCATGTGTTTGATTATTTTATATCTGTTACACTCAATTTCATCAACTACAATAGAGCAACTTTTGTAGTGTTGTAGTTAGAAAAGAATGTAGTTAAAAACTGATCCTTTAGTGAAGGAGAAACGGGCCACGGTTAGCGCAGTGAGTACCTCGGGGTATAATGTACTGCGACAAGGTCAAAGTTTAAAAGTTAAATAATGGAGTATGCAGACACTGCTGAACTCTCTTTGTGTTGACCTCGGTTCAGTGCCTGCCACTTAGGGCAAGCAGGACTAGATCTTCCAAACACAGCAAAGCTACACAGGGATAAAATTATAAAATGGATCTGCATAATAGCTCAACAGCATGCTGAGTAAGCCATTTTATTTATTTATTGTTTCCAATGCAAGCATGATGGGCTTAAGAAACCTACATTGTTTCTGCATCAAATACTAATCATTTCCTAAATGGCAAAAAAAATATCAGGCTCACAGTTTTCCCAAAAACCAACAACTTCACTTTAAAGAATGTACTTCGTTGGATCTTGAATTAAACATCTGCTATGACAGTCGCGCTGTGGTCCGCCAAGTGCGGATGACGTGCTGGACAGCGGAGTCCTGAGGCTCCATCCTGGTGCTGCACAGAGCGCTATGTCCTTTTTTTTTTGTTCAAGGTTTATGCATGCTCAAATTTGCACAAATTCAAAAAAGATTAATTTAGCTGGTTCTAGAAGTGTAGTTCCCACAGCATAAAAAACCCAACTCAAAATACACTTATGAAGCTCTTTTGGAAACCAGGAGTGAAAAAGCACATTCCAGCTCATTTAAATGAGAACTGAGAGGCAGTGGTTTCCTGTGACTGATGCTGCTGTCTACAACTTGCTCAAATGGAAGCTTCCAGGCGTATTTTATGAGATGGATTCCTTTTGTATTTGTCGTCGCCAGCATGTTTTTTTTCTTTTTTTTTTCGTTTTTTTTCCTAAAGTGTAAGTTTAAAGCCAAAACAGTGTTGCGTCTCTCATCTGGCAAGGTCGTTTATTTGACAGAGTGTCTTTTGAGTTAAGTAGGCCATTTCATTTTAGCCCAAGCACTGTTAATGGAATGCCACTGATGGTACGTAAGGCAAAGACTGAAGTGTGTGTCTGTGTGTTTGCCGGGTGGTCTGTGGCCTTGTATCAATCACTGGGATAATATCTTGTCACCACGGTGCCCAAAGGGAAACATAGCACAAATAAACTATGTGCATCCACACACCCGTACGCACACACACATGCACATTTGCACTCTAGCATTGAACCCTATCGTTGCTTTTCCCACAAGAGAGTAATGTGACAACATCTCAGTTAGAATATCTGTGACTCATTTACTTTGACCTTTATCAAAGAATCTTCTGGAGGCTACATTTTTTTTAATATAATTTTTTGTTGTTTTTTGGTTCCTGAAGGAAGCAAGAAATTTACACATCGCCCCACATTGTTTTTTCCTCCGAAAAAAAAAAAATGGATCTTGAATTTTCAGGCAGGGTGAAACTTGATGGAAGCATAAACTGCAAATGTCCGTCCGTGAATGACAGATCCCTGAGTGGCAAGCCTCACACCAGTGTGGACGCACAATACATATCACCACTCAAGCCACTGTCTATTCTTTGTTACACTAGGTTGATTTTCATTTAGTGCGAGGAAATGCAGTGCATCCTCATTCCCTGGTGGTTTGTCACTTCATTTTATTCCTTTTCTAACTGAAGTCAAGCAAAAAGTTGGGAATTTCTACTGCTACACACAGTTAAAAAAAAAGCATGATTCTTCACAGGCAACACAATTAATTTATCAAACATTGGAAGAAAGCTACTTAGTCTGAGGTAACAACATGCCTTGGTCTCCCCTGTGGTAGATACAACATGATAAGGTGGCATTGAGGGTTCCCCTGCAGAGGAGGAACCGTGATCCACCGTCCTGAAGGGTGCTCCTTCAGTGAAACGGTGTGTGGCACTTCCCCTTGTTCAGAGGCTCGCCGACATGTTAGAGAGATTTTTACGCGCCAGTGACCAACCTTGTACGGCGGGTGTCCTTTATATTCCATCAGCCCGACAGCCTGAGTCTGCCACTGCCCAGCAGCAACTAAGTGGAACTTTTTGTTGAGTTTCCCTCTCTGATCCATTCTCAATATCTTAAGAAAACGCTCAGGCTCATACTGATCGCACTACTGGCACCATCCTATGTGCCTTAACGTGTGGCTGTCAATAAGCGAGGCACACAGGGCAGGAGACAAGCAAAAGGGTCCAGATGCGTTCGCTAGGAAAGGACCATCGGACACTGAATGAGATGAGGACTCGCTACGCCTTCGCCGTATCTAGGTGGAGATCCCCACAGGAGCATGAGGGGAGGCAAACATTGATAGAATAAAGTTTGTAGGTGGCAGATGACACTGTCTTCTGGAACGCACAGTTGCATTTGTTTCACGGAACGATTGCAGTGCAAAAAAGTCCGGCTCCCCATCCAGCGGTGGATACCACAAATTGCCACTGACCATCTGAACTGTTTGTTATATGATAAATATATCCTCTTTTTTGTCTTTTCCATATTTGTCAATCCGCAGTAACTAAGACCGTTTGTGCTGAGCAGTGTGACGGCCGTTGCTTCGGCCCCTATGTTAGTGACTGCTGCCATCGTGAGTGTGCAGGTGGCTGCTATGGACCCAAGGACACAGACTGCTTTGTAAGTGAGCACACAAACACACATACATATACACACATGTCATTTAAAAAATGCATTAGAAAAAGGGTTGTTTTCATGTTAATATTATACCCCAACCACCAAAAAACTAAGCATTTCCTGACCATTCTCTTCCTGTTTGTCACAAACCTGAAACACTTTACTTGCAATTTTTAACTTATTTTGATTCAAGGAAATCTTCAACATGATTTATTCTACCAGGCTCTTTTGTTAAAATGCCACTTGGATGTCAAATATCATCAAATGACATTTCGTTTCCGATTGTACCTAACATGAGTGTCGTTTTTAAATACAGACTTCACCCGCCTCTTCTCCCTTCTGGCTCTTAGGCGGGTGCTTTAACATTTTTATTTTCAACCCTCTATATGTTAAACTTGTAATTCTGTGCACCTCCCTTTTTGAACTCCAGGAGTTCTTGCTCTTTTTCTCAATTCTTCACACACTTAAAAGTAAAAGAATGGATTTCAGGAGAAGGCCGAGTAGACGTGAACATGTTGTCAGATTATCACACAGATGAGAGATAGAAACAAACAACCATTCACAATCATATTTACACCTATGGGCAATTTAGGGTCAATCAAGCTAAGCTGCATGTCTTTGGACTGATTGTCTCAATCTGTTTTATGAATTTTCTTAATAAGACATAGGAGCTGATCTCTAGAACAAATTAGAACCAAACTAGAGCAAACATAAGCTGAGTCCATACCTACGTTGTTTTGTGTGGAGTTTTTTCAGAACATTAAAGTGAAAAATAAAATTCAAAACATGATAAATCTGTCCTTTAATTTGAAAAATGTAAAAGGCTCATGGACCACAGTTCTTACTGTGAACTGGAAAAGCGCACTCTCCCCCCATCCAGAACCCAAGCGTATCAGATGTGCTTTTTGCTTTGGTGTCACACTCAACAGATAACTCATTTCAACAAAGGCAGCTGGGAAACGAGACAAGACAAAAACTTGTTTTTAGAGCTTTTTTTGGCGATGTTTATTCGTGGGCAAGCCGTAACATACAATGTGCATTACAGACACAAGACAACTCCCGTGCTCCTTTCCTTCTATCCGTATCTAACACACCCGTCTGCCCTGAGCGCCGTCTCCCTCGCTCAACCGCACACGCGCTCCATATTCACAAAGTAGCATCGCCCGTAAGTAACATGCCTGCTCCTTTCACCACTGGAAGGGGAGACATAGAAAGCCAAGTGTCTTGTTGCTCTATTCCAGGGAATTTCCTTGTGCATTTTATTCACAATGGTGAATATCTTCGCACTGATTCATTGTGGAAAGGCCGACGGGGGAGTGGGTGGGGGGGCTCATACCTGTCGGAGATGAATATGAATATGTTGCAATATTGAAGGTCAATATAAGAAGATCAGCATATACGGTTATAAGTGTTATAATTGACTCTTTCTCGGGTTTTGCAGTTGAGTAGCTCTCTGTAGCCGTGGAGGTCCATCACTTATTTTAAAGTTAAGTCATTATTGAAATGCTTTAAATATGTCAACACTCAACCAAACACTGTCCACATTTTGTAATAATGTAAAAACTGCCAGAAAAGGCAAATCACACTTGTCCAGGTGGCAATTTCATTGGGTGCATGCGTTATTTTCTCTCTGCATGAGTCAGTGATGTCACCTCTGGCCACGGCCTCTACTCTATGCAGGTTACAGTTTTTTTTTTCTTTTTAAATAACCCTTCATGTAAATATTCTAAATACGTTTTCCACCACCACGTGTGGTGTGTGTGTGTGTGCTGTCTTGCAGGCTTGCACCAACTTCAATGACAGCGGGGCATGTGTGACCCAGTGCCCCCAGCCCTTTGTCTACAACCCCACCACCTTCCAACTGGAACACAATCCCAGAGCAAAGTACACCTACGGAGCCTTCTGCGTCAAAAAGTGTCCTCGTAAGTCTCCCTGACACACACACACTTGCTTGACTACTATACGTTTGATGATTCCACAATTTCAATAGTCAAACCGACACTGTGACAATGGTGATAGAATGCAAACATTCTCGAGCAAAACATTTTCCCTTTGGCAAAATATGTGACATTGAGGTAAAGTGTAAAAATGAAACATATTTTAAGTCACACACATAACTGCTTTGGCTGAGAATTGGGGAAACTTGAGCGTAGTATAGAAACCACCAAAATGCATTATATTTGCAGAATTCCAGTATAATTCTTATCTCTCACCAAAGATAATAACTGCATAAACAAATACATACACATACATACAGCATACAAAGTGCATTAACAGTAGCCAGCACAGGTCTGCTCTTTAAATAGCTTATTTTAATTTGAACACGAGCAGATACAATTTGCCGCGAACAAGAACAGCGATTAAAGACTTAAATTGTCTGAATTACATTTACCTCTTAAACCGGATGATAGATCCAGTTGATCATTCTGAATATCCAAAACCGCTTCGGTGTAAACACCGCTTGCTTTGTGTTTTACAAAGATCACTTTGCAGGTGATCTGTGTGAGGATCAATTTCAGTTTTAGAAACCGGGAATAAGTTCTTTTTACAAAGTGAAGGCTGATGCTGCTCTTCATTTCTACAAACGGCTGTTTAAATTAATTTATTCAAAGTCCCCTGCGGGTGATTTGGGTTGAGACATGATTCAAGTTGACACAAGGGAATTGACTAAAGAAGTTCAAGCCTTTACAGCCCTGTGGTCATGACGGCCATACAGTGGTTTGTCCTGCTGCATTTTCTTTTACATGAGAAAAACAGTTGTTGTTCTTTCCTGTGCTTATCTTAGGGATTTGCCATGAACTGTGCAATAACCTACGAGCTCAAGCCTCTTTAGACTGCAGAACAAGGCTCGGCCATTGGCTAAATTGGAATCTTAGCTACTGTTGAAATGTGGCATGGGTGTGGAAAGACCTTACAAACGTATCAATGTGGGCAATGACACGCAGGGAAGGTAATAACGGAGGAGGCTTCCTCCATTAGAGAAACAAGCACGAGAGAGCTGAATACGTCCTCCCTATATGGTCAGTTTGCTGAGTCCCTTAGTTGTAGTTGTCTTTGCATTTCTTCAAACCAAGAATCATTGAATATGAAAGACTTTCATTTGTAGATAGATCAATCCAAACATGAATGATTCATCCTGTGCTGCAATTTTGGAGCGTGTTGGTGAATGAAAGTGACAAAGTAACACTTTTCTAATTTCTTACACCAAGTGCCACTTATTTTACCGGATGTTCCTGTGTGACAAACAGCTGACAAACTGTATTTGACATTTATGGTGAAATGTTTTCCAGATAACTTTGTGGTGGATCATAGCTCCTGTGTGAGAGCCTGTCCCAGTAACAAGATGGAGGTGGAGGAGAAACGTGTTAAGATGTGCATTCCTTGTACTGACATCTGTCCAAAAGGTAAAGCACAAACAAATGTTCAAATATTCAAATATTTTTAGTTGATGAAATTTTTCAAATATATTACTATTAGTTATCCATTTCTGTTAATATAGGGCTTATCAATTGTGTTTGTAGCATCTAAAGATCAATAAATCATTACCACATCCATACTGAGTTTTGTGATCAAAGTTTTTATGGATTTTCAGATATACATTACAAATCAACCATCCATTATCAATATACATATACATATACTCACATACCGCTATGTAGATATGCACATATACATGCATATATATAGACACAACACACTCTCATATACACACATGCGTACACCAACACATCCAGTTGAAACAGAATAATAAATACAGTTTTGGGCTATTTTTGTTGAATTAAAAAATGCCATTTATTTGGGATGATAAATTGCTGTATAATCTATTGATACCTAAAGATGATTTACGGTTGTAGATTTAATAACGGTTCCATTCCATACGTTTATATATAATTACTTTATCATGTCGGCATTAGAAACTAATACATTTTGATTTCTCACTTGCAGCGTGTGACGGCATCGGCACAGCCAGCCTACAAGCGGCTCAGACGGTAGACTCCAGAAACATTGACAAGTTTGTCAACTGCACCAAAATCAACGGCAACCTGGTGTTTCTTATCACTGGGATCAAAGGGTAAGATTGAACTAACATTTAATTAATACGAATGTTGAACTACGGGATGGAACAGGAGAGCTGTCACCATGTTTCGACATGTCGTGTCCTTTCTTGGAAGTGTTGATTTAGAAGTCCTGGATTGACAATGTTCAAATGGAATATGTTAATATACTTAAACTAAAACTGAATTTAAAAAATTAAAAATCAATATTAGAATTAGATGATGGTATCAGATAGTGACAGATTGTTGAAAATATATATTCTTTTCTCAGCTCAATCAAAATCCCACCAATATAGTTCTGCATAAATTCCTTTGGGAACAAACTATGTAGCAAATATTCATGGTCAAGTGTGTTTTTTTAACACTTTTAATGTAAATCGCTTGATAAGAGTGTCACCTTGAAGTCCAGAGTTTCTTTTAAATGTTAAATGTCTGAATGTGTAAATAATTGGTATGCCAAATATGTCATGCTAGTCAAAGCTAGAATTGTATTTATACTTAGATATACTGTAATACTGTATACTGTAAATAGTTACTGTAAATCAGATATTCTGAATTGTCCTGTCAATATATTGTACATTTCAAATGCTGTGATATTTCTGTTGTTTCAAAGAAAAATGTTATTTTGAACTCTAATTATCATTCAAAGGGACGTGTATCACAACATTGAAGCTTTGGACCCAGAAAAACTCAATGTGTTTCGCACCGTTCGGGAGATTACAGGTGAGGAACACAACTTGCACTGCAAACATCTCTGCACACGCCTACAAATTAATAAAAAAAGATACTCTTCCCTTTCTTCCCGCACGTTTGTGCCGCCTTTAGTGTGCATGTATGCGTAATGTTTGTGTGTATCTCTTTGTGTATTTGCTCGAGTCTACCTCCCTCCCCCTGAGACTGTCCACACCAAGGACAGACATTGCAGCATGAGATGAATATCCGATGAGTCTTCTGTCTCTCTACCCCTTCTCCCTCGGGGAGTCCCTAGCCTTGAGTCCCACAGTTCCAGCTCTCCCTTCACGCACCACGAAGAAAAGATCCAGAACATGCGGTGCGCATCGTTAATCTCCCCTATGACATCACTTCTTATTAGCTGCATGCATACTTGCATCTCTTGGCCCAAATGCCATCTGAAAGAAACCGTTCACCTCTGAAGTGATGCTCACTGATGAGACAACAGCATGTTGCTGTTTGTTACAAAAAGCACACAAACAGTATTCCTCTTATGTATAACCTGGAAAAAAATATATATTTCAGCTCAAAGCGTTTTCAAGTGAAGAGCAATCATTTATCTATATTCCTTCTATCTATTATTTCAAATGACCTGTATTTTTCCTCTCTTGGCCCTTGTGTTGACTTACCGACACTTTTGCCTGCTCTGCCTCAAGCTCCAAATAAAAAAAGAAAAAGTCCATTTATATCTTACCTGCATTAATGTCTCAATGTCCACTCGACTCGTAAATAGAAGGCACCTCCTTCTATTTACCTGTTGCCATGGTGAACTGTGTATTGGATCTCAGAGATGACTGAACAAACGGATCAGAATGTTCAGAATTCAGAGCTTTCCATCCGAAGGTTAAGTTCACTGCTAGGCAATGTTTGTTAAACCTTCTACTTTTTTAAACAAGCTCCTGCTTTTGCAGCATTATTCTGCAAGATCGGAATGTGATTTGAAAAATAAAAACTACTGTGTTGTTGTTCAACAGCAAACAGAGTTCAGACAGGAGTGAGCCAAACACGCGCACCATTCTGTCCAGATTATATTGATAATCTTAGTCTCTTCCTTAAGTGGAAAACCACAGAAATCAATGATGGCCTGTGTGTTTCCGTCAGGTTGCGATAAGCTGGTCAACAATGATTGATGCTTTTGACAAATGTAGAAATTGAAGGACTTCAAAGAGAATGGACATAAACGGAGTGATAACAATCACACAACAAGACGACAAAACCGTGATTGAATACTAAAAGCACATATAAAATGGCTTTGAATATCAAAACTATCATCACAAATGCTGTAATAAGCTGCACTGTTATAGATCACACACAGTAGAACAAACTATGGTTTGAGAGCAGGTGATGGAGACGACCCATTGGTCCAACACAATGTGGTCAAGGGTGTTTGTCAGCTCTGCTTGTCGTCTCTCCCAGCTGTCAAGAGAACATGACTTCTGACGGAGGCAGCCAACCTGCCTGTGTGACCCCGAGGTCACACTGGTCTTTTGTTTCTTCTTTGAAGTATTCTTGCTTCTTAAAAGACATTTCACCAGTTAAGGTTCCACCCACCGATTGCTCAATCAACTCAGGTTAGTAGGGTTTTTTGATGCTGTTGCACAGATTTATTCACCAGAAGTCAAGCACCCTTAACATTTGATTTTGAGTTGACGCCCTTCCTGTCTAAATGGATCCATAATTTAATTTGTTGTAGTTTTACCACCGATGTGTCTCTTAGCAGAACATGAACCACTTTGATAATTAAACTTAGCTATTTTTGTCTAAAACAACTACTTGGCAGAGAAGGTAAAGGCACTAAAACATAAGGATGGGGCCAAATGCATTTTTCTCATTACGCCTGAATAAAAGTCCAGACAAAACATGTACACAATGTACGAGTATGTTTTTTTCAGGAGTCTCCCAAAAAAGCCCCAAAAAGCCTATATGTATAATCTGTCAAATATGGTGCAGGCAGTGTTTTGGCACGGACTTGTATGGCTGCCAATGGGACTGGGTCACTGGTGTGTATTGATGATGTCACAGCTGATAGAAGGAGCAGGATGAATTCGGAGGTATTTAGGGTCTTTCTTTCCGCTCATTTGCCCGCTGCACAGTGCAGATGGATAGTGAAACAAAACATACTGTGAAAACAACATAAGAGTTTAGGGGCAAAAGAAGGCTGTTATTCTTTGAGTATTCAATGGTCCTTTGAAGTCAGTCACCTGATTCTAATCCAATTTAGCATGGGTTTTACTTATTTATTTAGGTACAACTGATTGCAGATTGAACCATAAACAGGAAGCAATAGAAGTAGGCTGAAACAAAAGCTTGGAACAGCATTCACGGGATATAAAAACATGTTTTGTGATGTTTATTGATGCCAGACTCCATCCTGTTATTTACCGCGAAGCAGTTTCTTCCAAGTAATAAAGAACAATGATTATCTTCATAGATATGTTAGTTTATTTGTTTTTGAGCCTCTGAGCATGTGGTGGTCTGTATGAAAATGCAACTCCTAAACCTTTCATGCAATATTCTGTTTTATCCGTTGAATTAAGGGCTAAAAGTCTGCACTTCAATAAGATAGCTTGATTTTAAATTGTTGTATAGAGGCCATATTTCAAAATCCAAATACCCTATATATATACATATATACTTTTTGTTAAAATGTAACCTTTAACTGGGTATTTATTTTGAAATTTGGTGTCACGTATATTCTGCACCGTCCCTGTACCGTGAGCACGGCATGTCTGTCATTATCCAAGTATTACAATAGCAAACCAGTCTCCAGCATCTTCCTGCAGGAAGCGCCTGCTTACCTCAGAAGAGCACCACGATGGAGCTGCGAGGTGCCTCAGCACTGCAGGTTTTGTCATGAATTGACAATTCGTGCTGACAGGTACACTAACGATCCTATAGCGCCTTTGAGAGGCCCTCGGCATCCTGAAATACACCCCATGTGATCCGAGGTTATGTTTAACGTTAATATTTCACTTTTAGTGTGAGGATGTTGACCATGAGCCATATAGTGTTCCTCACCAAGACCCAACTTTAGTATTTTACCGATGTCTTCATCTACACTATAAGCATCTGCTTAAAAATGACAAACAAATGTGAACAAACTAAAAAAGGTATTGTTGAAGATCATTACTATCTTGTCAACAGGCCACGGAGGCCCTTCTTCTCTGCATCTCTTTGTATCCCAAATAGGAAAACACATTTTATTATAATGGAGTCAGACTGTTGATTGATTGGAGAATGACCACACTGCTATTCTCACCTTCCACTGTGTGCTCGCTCTCTACCTTCTTTGCCAGGAAGAAGGTAAAACCGCAACTGGTCGCCTCTGTGTTTTTCATTCTAACTTGATACCAGAACTTCCTCTACTTCCAAGATCTCACCACCTCTTTCATGCTTCTCCTTCAATTTTTGCCCTGGTCCCATAGTGTCATCAAACTGATTTGTTTGTTGGCTTGGGCATTTTACCCCTCCCCCCCACCCCTTTTTCCCAACTAAATATTTCATATGTCTCAATCTATTATTGAAAATCTTAGCCAAAGCCATCTTCTCAGCTATTCATTTAATCTTTTAAATGATTCAACAGTAGAGACGCAGGTAAAGAAAATGCAAAAATATTGATTAATATCAAACTCTGCACCGGGCCTAGCTAGCACCAAACTCCTCTCTGAGAGATCTTTTATCTAGAGGTGCTTGTCTGCCGTCAGATGACACTTGTATCCTGGAACATTGCTGAATCCAGAGAGATGCCAACTCTCCCTTCTGATTTTTAACTGTCCACTTTTAGAAAAGAGTAAAAATGATAGACAGCTGATATTAGTTTGTCAGTACTGGTGACTCATTATAGAATAACTACTGTGTTTGTGTGTTTGTGTGTCTGTGTTCCACTTTTTAGGCTTCCTGAACATCCAGTCTTGGCCCGACAACATGACAGACCTGAGTGTTTTCTCCAACCTGGCAACTATTGGGGGAAGAGCGCTATATAGGTACACATTTGAAAACATTATACATGTGGTTATTTCTGTTAGACCATGAGTGTAATTCATATAATAGCTGTGTCAAAACTGCCTCAGCATCACATACATGACGTACTCTGTGCGCTTATGGGTCTAAAAAGTTCAAAACTCAGCACGACATTCTTGATGTTAATTGTTACAAGATTTAAAACTAAAATAAGCATATACGTGGGATTGGTTCATGTATTCAAATAATTGTAAATTAAAATACATGTGGTTAAAGGAAGAAGTATATATATTTGTATATATATTATTTGTGTGTTTTGACCTTTAAGAAGCCAGTTTAGATCAAAGCTGAATTTTAGTGATTTTTCAAAAGGTTCTTTAAAATATGCTTTGACTTTTGGTTGGAAGAAATTGTTTCAGCGTAACTGCTGGCATAATGTGAACTTTGGGACGTGGTGTGTGTGTGTAGGTGTGTGTGTGTGTGTGTGTGTGTGTAGGCGTATGGATGCTCTTGTGTGTCATCCACCTGCAGATGGAAACAGCAGGCTGGAGTAAAAATTACAGCCTGCCTTCCACCTTTATCCCATGCTTGATCCTGCATACCCTCTGGCTCTGACACCCCGCTGGCCTCCTGTCATTTATAAACTATGCAAGGATATGAGGAAGGACGGGCGTTGGAAGAAAGATAGCGGGGAATAAGTTCAAGTTGCGTAGTTGCTGTAGCTAGCATACAACAGCAAGTGGCTTTAAGTGGCTGTAAAGTAAATGTATAGAATTAAGCAGATAAAGGGTATTATTGAAGTTTAGTATCACTAGATTATCAAATCTGGTAACTGTGGGTGAGGAGGAAGCACGGTCGTCCTCCAATCAGAGGGTTGGCGGTTCGATCCCAGGCCTGGCTAACCCGCATGTTGATGTGTCCTTGGGCAAGACACCTAACCCCAACAACCCCCCTGTAGCTGTGACTACAGTGTGTGCGTGTTAGTTACTGATGGGCAGGTGGGTCTGTGCATAGTATCTCCTGTTATCAGTGCATGAATGGGTGTGAATGATCATGTGACATGATGTGGTAACGCGCTTTGAGTGGTCGGAAGACTAGAAAAACGCTATATAAGTACAGTCCATCTACCATTTATAATTATAGTAATTAGTAGTATTAAAAAGTGTGGTTATAATGTGACTTTTCCACTGAGAAGTCGAACCCTAATTTATTTTCTTTTTGATATTTTAGTGCAGTATAGCACATATTAACCCTAATTTTACTCAGCGGCTATGTAGAAGCTGTTATCGCATTTGTAATTATTATTAACTATAGCAATATGAGGTCAAATATCATTGGAAATTATTTTTCTACAGGTTTATGTTGTAAAAAAACGTATTTTCTATCATTTATTTTGCTGATTGCTTTTATGCAATACATATTATTTGCAGAGACACGATTGGCATTTTTGCACCAAATTTAAATAAATATACTAAATGTTGTAATAATACCATCTCCCCAAGTTGCTATTTGTATCAAGACCACAAATAAACAAGCTTCATGTGCTATATTGCTGTTGCCATGTGAATATTTTAAACTAATATGTTATATTCTTTAAACATATCTAAAACACAATGCAGGGGATTAAAGTAAAGTAGAGATTATGTTGGCAATTAAATACAAACTAAAACAAACTAATCCATTAAACACTCAAACTTGACAAACCCCTCTGGTACACTGAAAATGTTCCACTCAATATAAAAGACTAACATGTAATAGGTACATATGACCTTATTATAATGCACATTCAACAACCATTTGCAATGAATAAATAAAATCAAAATGCGATCAACCGAGGTTTTAAATCCTATGAAATGAATCCGTCTCCTCTGCCTTTTCACTTCCCTCTCTTACCTCATCCCTTCTCCTCCTCACAGTGGGATCTCCCTCCTGGTGTTGAAGCAGCAGAGCATCTCGTCCCTGCAGCTCCGGTCACTGAGAGAGATCAGCGCCGGGAATGTCCACATTGCAGAGAACAGCCAGCTCTGCTACTACGACACCGTGAACTGGACCAGACTGTTCCGGGCTCCAAACCAGAAGGTTCTCGTCCGCAACAACCAGAGCCCACGGAAGTGCTGTAAGTCCAGATAGCCGAACAATCACGTTCAGCCAAACACCCAAAACAAAAGTGGAAATGCGTAAAGCGGTTTGCCTTGCTTTGCGATGGAACGAGGACCATAGACATAAGCATGTAACTGCATTGCTGATTTTGATTCTGCACTGTTAAAAAGAAAAAAATCAAATGGCATGAATTTGAATGAACATGAGCTATAACTAATGTATTGCTAGATAGAGGAATAACAAGTACAGTATCATTGACAATCACACTTCATTTAGGAAAAAAACTTGTTGTGAAGAACAAAAGAAAGATTTCCAAAGAATGAAGGTACTGCTACTCTAAATCTTGTTTGTTTTCTGGCTGGAATACCATCATTTGGTTGGGAAGCTAACACATGCGTTTCTAAATGTGTTCACATTCATCAACAGGTTACTGTGAAACAGAGGCCTGAGCCACTGATGTTTTGACCGAATTTGTGATTGCTGACCGGACACAATTTGAGACACTCTCACAATGAGATCACTGCTTCAACTCAATTATTTTGGGACATGTTGAGATGTGCCATTTCTCTTCAGATACAGTTTTCTGGGTGACCGAATCAGCCGTTTCCGTAACTTCACTTTACTCCCCCAGAAGGCAGCATTGACACATCTAATAGCAGGAATACGCTGCCCTTTCTCTTGTCTTTCTGTCGTAACAATGGAGCTATTATCTCGCTCATTTGTAAAGACAACTAAAAGCAGTATTCTAATACTTGGATTAATTAGCCAACATAACCATCCAGTTGAGAATAACTTAAATTACTCAAATATCAAATATGATCAGTCAAAAATGTTGTTCCTAAAAATGAAATGGCTTTTTATTAAATTACTGCCACAAGTGTGAAGACATTATTCATTTATACATAATGTTCATTAATGAGCCAGTATTTGCATTATTGAGTTGACCCCTTTTCACTGTTCATGTGCTCCTTTCCCCTGGGCAGGTGCTTAGTGTTTGGCACACACACGCACGCACGCACACACGCACATACACATCCCTCTCTTTTATCTCTGTGAGGACATTCATTGACATATTGCATTCCATAGCCCCTTTTCCTCACCTAAACCCTCAAAACGTATTGCCTAACCCCTAATTCTAACCGGAACCGTAAACTCCGAAGCGGAAGAGAAGACCGGCTACAATGTCTTCACTTTTTTTAAACGTTCTCAAGTCAAATTCGTCCTCACAATTATAAAGTAGATGTACACATAAACCTCCCAGTCTCTCTCTCTGTGCCCATATCTTTATTATGAGTGGGGGTAGCTGTGGTAGTAGTACTTTTATTAGGTTATTGTGAAAATTAAAGACCGCTGAAACTATAACTCACCCTGTTTCTCAAAGTACCACTTTCTATAAGCTGTAGTAGTACTAGTACTACTCCTAAAGTTAGCTTGCGCTACTATAGTTATGATAGTTATGCTTTATGCAATCACGTGTTAGTCAGATATTATCTGTCTTTTCCACAAGGTCAAGTAAAAAAAGATGAGTTCTATTTGTTTTCAATCAATTTAACTCACTAAAACCTGTCTGGTTGTACATTTAATAGCTTGAGTTGAGGGTTTTTGCAGTTGGTTGAGGATCTGGATGCAGATGACGTCTTGACAGCGGGGCCTTTAAACACGTGTGCTCTCCTCACGTCTGCCTGTTTCGGACGATGCTGACTCAGTTTTAAAAGCCCTATTTCTTGTGCCTTAAGCTGCTCAATTTGTTTTTACAACGCTGTCATTTGACAGTCAGAACTCGATTGAAGTCCGGGGCGTGAAGAGTATTACTGCTCTTTGAGTTCCGACTGACAAATCGCTTCAGAGGAATGCCATTAGAAGGACGGCGTTTGGTCAGACGTCATCAAACTGTGTTGCCTGCAGAGACTTTGGTCTTTGGTCCAAATGCAATTGACAAGCTTCACCTACTAGAATTCATCTAAAAAAATATTTGACTGAAATGAATCCCAGAACGTATGATGGGGCTCTCGAATATATATTGCTGACTCATGGCTCATTAGGAAAACAGCGTTTGGGTCACGATGCCATTTTTATTGTTTATTTCTTCAGGTTAAAACATGTTGACTTTTTTTATTTTGTTCACACAAATCCTTGATCTACAAGCTGCTATTACATCCGCCATCACTGATCTCAGTCAGAGAGCAGTTTTATGAAAGTACTTTTCGAAGTAATTTCTTTAACGGCTGCACACGCATGATCCCACACAGGTGAGTTTAATTATTTGGGATGATTAGAGCTCGTGTGTGTGTGTGTGTGTGTGTGTGTGTGTGTGTGTGTGTGTGTGTGTGTGTGTGTGTGTGTGTGTGTGTGTGTGTGTGTGTGTGTGATCCGAAGCAACATTTCCCTGTGGTTTGTTGAACTTATTCGTAGGTCGACAATTTCACACTGGTTACAGGAAGAGAAACTTGAAGTTGAAAATGTCCATCGTTGAACGGAGCCATTGTTAATTATGAAAACAGATTAGTAACACATGGGCCACTTTTAATGTGACCAGTCAAAATGATTTTCAGGTTAAATATATAAATAAATATATGACCGCAACATAAGTGGGGATGAACGGACATCTCGGACAGACGTGGATGTAAACTGCAGATTTACTTGTACTCAAAGCCGTAGAGCTTATTCTAGATGTTGTTCTCATGACATTATTTGTACTATTCCTTTGATTTAACAGTTTGTTCCCCGTCCTTCATTCCGTCTTCCATACTTCGTTCTCCCTCTGTCTAGTAATCATCACAGCATGTGCTCCTGTCTCCCAAGGCTGCTCAGCTCCTGAGCCCCGTGGGCTTTTTCTTTTTCCAACCAAGTCAGAAACATCTAAAGATTTTTTTTTTGATCTTGCAATTGCTGTATAGTTAGAAAACCCATCCAACCACTCCTCTCCCTTGTTTATTTCCTTTTATTCAGCACCCTCCCTGTCCTCATCTTTCCCTCTGCATAGTCAGTTTACCTCCGGCGCTGGAAGCCCAACTGAGGTGGTTTTGTCTTTTTGTGGAAAGCAACGCTTTCATCCTTCTGCCCTCAAAGGAAACACTGGACTTCTGTTTTCCCCATGCATCTGCATCCTGTCTGATTTTCTGTTTTTGCATTCTGATCATGTTATGGTTGACACCTAGAAATAGCCCCTGGCGTACATGTGGCCAAGACCTCAAAAACAGCAACGGTGTTTTCGTAACCATGATCATGGCCACGGAGAGTGGAAGAGGAAAAAAGGACAAGGGGGGAATTATATCGGATGCAGATGAGGTGATACAAGTTCTGAATGTGTTTGCAGGACTGTCGTCATGTTGCTTCATGTTTTGTTCCACTAATGCTCTCAGATCCAACAGATGTAGAAATGAGTGCTGTGGAACAGAAGATACAGAGAGAGAGAGAGAGACATGCAGAATAGAAAGGAGAAGATGTAAGAGATGGAGTATTTTAGTATTTTGAGAAATGGTGAGACAAATATAAAGACCCAAGCACACAATATGGCCCTTTAACACTTTAATGTCTCTTTGGAATTCAAGCAAGACTTTAGTAATGGCAGAGCATGACTATCTCAAACACGGAGATTTATGTAACTGTATCATCTAATGACTTGCATTGGGAGATACTAATGTTTTTGGTTTAAAGCAACACGAAAATGTATTAGTACTTGTACTCAATATCCGTATATTTTAACTTTTAGACACCAACTAAAGGCTGGGATTCAACATTCCAAGGTTCCAGTTTTGGCAATTGGGCAATTCTCCCGCTCTTCCGAAGTAAATGAACTAGTCTGCGAGGCACCTGCAGGTGCTTTCCGGGTCCCACTAGCGCTGCGTCACTGCTGGCTCAGCGTCTTTTTAATGAAGCAGGACAGCACTGTCTTTTTCTCATGCCACAGCTATATTACAGAGTAGTTTACACTCACAGACAGATCGTACATGCAATTTATTTTAAACAGATATCTTACTTTACAGTATATGCACTCACGTTGGAAAGTTAAAAAGAGAACATTAATGTAATGTTTTAAAAAGTGTTTAAAAAGGTTGACCAATCAGATGGAAGTATTTTGCGGGAGAAAAGGTCTTCCTTTACTTTTTCTATCAGGGCAGTTATGGTGAATCCCTCAGCACGCCTTTTGAGCATTACACAAAATACTGCTTGGTCCTGCTGCAATGACTCCTTCCATTCCAAATATAATGCTAAAGGATACCCTCCCAAAATGCACATGTTTCTGAACTGTGATCATATTATTTTGCATGTTGCAACCACGAGGCACGAACATTAAATATTTTGTGTATTTTGCTTGTACATTTTCATGTTCAGTCGATATCACTTGTATTTCTATACTATGAATTACATTACACTGTGTTCCGCTTGTATTGCTAATTGATATTTGTCCTACGCACAGCCCTTCCAGGCATACTCTGTGATTTTTGGCTTCATATAAAAAAAAAAGGTTTTGAGAAGGAAAAACCCTCATCAGCACACATTAACACACAGACACACAGTTTAGTTGAGTGTTGTTACCTGGGACCTGGATGTAATTGGTTTTGCTTGTACTCTCTTTCTCTCTGTGTACGTGTTTGATGAGCAGCCAAGGAGCGCATGGTGTGTGACCCGCTGTGTTCCGACACCGGGTGTTGGGGTCCAGGCCCCGATCAGTGCCTCTCCTGCAGATACTTCAGCCGTGGACGGACCTGTGTGGATACCTGCAATCTTTATGAAGGGTAGGTCATGCTTCATTCTTGCATATAAAGGACTTCTGACTGGTAGATTACGAGCTGTCCTCTAACCGTCCTCAAGTCCTGATTGTGTTTAGGGTCAACCCACATTGTAATAACCTTTACATTTCTTTAACTAACCACTGTGTCTTGCGTATCTCTTCCTGCAAGATGCAACAAAAAGAAAGTAAGCTGCCAAATCACACCGCAAAGTCTGGTTTAATTTCCCATCAGTCTTAATTCTGTGAAACTAGGAAACCCATTCTTAATTCACTTGGCTTTCAAACCCTAATACAGTTATTTGCAACGGATCCCCTAATGTTTTCCTTTCTTTCACTAATTACGGTTAAAAGAAGTTTGAGTACCAATTTATAGTTAGTTTATGTCTCTCCTGCAAGACAACAGAATCAGTACAGTTGGCGTAGAACAATGTCTATTTGGTGGAGACGACAGCTTAGATGTGACACACAGTAGTTATGGACAAGAAAAAACCTCCACTAGAGCTGCATCAGTCTACATGATGTCTGAGCTTTCATGTGACGCAGAAGCAGTACAATGTGTTCCACTGATTAAATCACAGAAAAATATAGAAACGTGAATAAACTTTTTCAAATAATAATTTCTTTCAATTGTTGAAAGACGTGGTGCAGAATCAGCTCATAAAACATGAGCTTCGAAAACACCCCAAGGCTCTTTGTTACAGCTTTCAAGTTCAGCAGTAATTTTTCTGTTTACTCTGAATCAAATTTAAGAGCCGCAGGCAAAGGACAGAAATTAAAGACGTGTGATAATGCTCAATGACTGACAAAACAATAGGGGGGGGGGGGGGGCCTTGGCTTAAAAAAAAGGGGCAGCTTAATTCCCTCTCGCTCCTGCCGAAGACAGAAACCGAACTAAAGCCCGAGGAGTTTTTATTGCTAACAATTTAAACTTGGAAGAAAAAGTGCCGTGAAGAGGGATTTGAGTCCAGAGCCCTTCGGTGATCAAAACGATATATTCGGTGGCCACGTTGGAGAGGAACGAGGAGGACCAGAGGGTGGCGTTCGGGCAGGGGGGGCTAGGCGTGTCACTGCGTGTCACAGTCACTGCTTGCGCACGGGGCCACGCCCTGCCTACCTGTTCACCCGCACGCCAGCACCACCCGCACCGCCAGCCCCGCCAAGCACATCATCCGAACGAATATGAGCTTTCCCCCCACCACAAAGTCGTACTTGTTAAATGTTTCACATGTTGTTGTTCTTTGTGCCCCTATTCATGTGTATCCCGTCAAATCTCCCAAGTTACAGAAAGTCTACAAGAACAAGGACAGTAGGACTGTTTAACGCACACTGCCTGCTTAACAACAAGGAGGCCCTTTTTTTACTCTGGTTTGAGTAGATTTAATCTAAATATATAATTTACACAACGAACAAATTCGAAATCAATTTGATTTTTTTGCTGAAAAGGTTTACAATGTTAAATTCATTTGAACTTTGTAGTCGTAATTGCCAAAATTACCATCTGTAATTATTACCATTATCATCTGTAATTATCCATCGAATTGATAACACGGTTTAATTATTCACAGAAAATGTGTTGCTGTGTCCTTGTCTTTGTCAATTGATTGACAGAAAACGCAGTCCAGACAAAAACCAGCCAAATTTCAAGCATCAGTGATATCTTCCAGCTACACCGCCGCCTTTATTATTTCATCCAGCACACACACTCTGACAAAGGCTTACCTTCCCTCACCCTTGGAAGGTTTTATGAAGGCCAGATGAAGCATAATTAATACTAATTTGATTTAGATCCCACTGGGCCAGCGACATTTTGTCTTTCTATTGCTGGAACACTCTGTTTTCCTTCACCGACCAAAGCAGCAGAACTCAAAAGACATTCTCCTTGTCCTGTAGTAACAAAGGTAAAGTGCTAACTCAGCCGCGCTGTGGTCAAAGTTAATGACTTTTCGAGGCCACTCTGGTGTTCTGCTATTATAAGGGGATTTCAGAAATTGAATAACAAGGCACTTAATTTAATTGATTTTTGAAAGCATTGAACCCCTCGCAGGTATTGCATTGCACCTTTTCACCTGCGTCGACTCGCAGCACGATGATATCAGTAGTGCAGTAAGCTAATTAGCTACAATGGTATGTGGGTGTATCAATAATGTGTGGCTGCATGTATATGTGTGTTTGTGACTGCATTTTAATGTTAGCACTACATATATTGACCTTTAATTTCAAAGCCTCCCCCGTACTTGCAGAATAAAACACAAATACTCTGACTTTTAATCGCTCTCATTCCGCTGTTCATGGAATGACATTGTGAACTGGATTAAAAAATTGTGGATGGAAAAGGATATTTTCCAAACGTATGTTAAGCCCTAGGAAAGCTCTGCATGAGAACATTCTGTAAATTAAAATGTGATATTGACACTTTGCAGATTTGCATTTAGCACAAATCCTACAGATCTCTTCCAATGGACTATTTTTGTCCTTTTTCACACAATATCCAGCAGGCAAGGCCATAGAATTAGCTAATTTACATAGCACCAGTCAAAATATTTGACATCAATTGACAGATTTGACATCAATTCAAACGTTTGCCTACTTTTGCCTACTGTATATAAAGGAAATAAACTCAATTTAGGATTTCATATTTTTGTGCCGCATCCATAATGGTCAACGGTTTTCACAAACACTGTTTTGCCCGCTACCCCTCGCTTTTCCTTTACACATCTTGACCCCTCCCCTCTTTTTTCTCAGGGATATTCGAGAATATGCCAACGGATCGGTGTGTGTGGAGTGTGATGCGCAGTGTGAGCAAGCTGACGATGACTCTTTGACCTGCAACGGTCCGGTAAGCTTGCTTCTATAGAAAAGCAATAGTAAGGCAGGCATTGAAGCGCTCATTTGTTTGTGTCATCTTAATATACAGTTTGTTTATTTTATCATAGTTTATATTCAATAAAGAGAAACAGTAGATCATTGAAAGAAGAACTGCAGCCTCTATTGTCTTAAAACTAAAGGTAAGACTGACTTTTTAGGGAAGGTGTCCGTTGATAGCCTGTATTTTCCCAAGAAAGACTAAAGCCAACAATGAATTGAACCAAATAAAAGCAGAATTTGTATAAAGGGTGTTTGTATTTAGTGTTGAGCCCCCCAAAGAGAAGTGTTCAAGGCCAAAGCTTTCAACACTCACCACAAACCAAATGACTTGGAGCCGCAGACACTCCCTGTGGTCATCTTGGACTATGATTAATTGTTGTATTAGCAGTCAGAGTGTGCCTTACAGCTCTGCTATTGATTATGCCTCATGTTCCGAGTCAACGGTAAAACTGATTGTTTAAGCTAATATCAGCATTATATTGCATGCCAAACAACAGTGGGCTTTTATTTAGCACATGCACGCGCTTGTGACTGTTTTTATTGGAATTAAACATCAAAAATGTATTGCGTGACAGCCATTCTTTTTTTCCAATTAAAAGTACTTTAAAAAAAAAAAAAAATGTTCTGCACGAGCACTTAGAGAATCACGGACGCCCTTTGAAAAATTGTTCAGTCACAGCTGTACAGAAAGTCCCTGGCCTTCATTTCTGAACGCCTCTCTTGCACACTACACCCACTGCCACATGAGGCCTCTGACTCTGCGCTTTCTCTTGTAATTGTATCTCGCTGCTTGATAGAGAGGGATGATTTGCGACAGATGCAAGCCAGAGGGGCCGTGTGCTGTTTTCTGTGTCGCATCACACTCTGTCCAACTAGTTTGCCCAATACAGTTTGGAAGTAGAAGTTTCCAAAACTTGTGTCGTGTCTTTGCGTGAAAACATGGGGGAGCAAAGGCCACATGTGGTTGTTGGTTTAAGTTGTTGTTATTGGATGAGATTTGTCTGTTTCATTATCTTGGCTGTCAGTTTGATGCCCCAGAGCCGTGCACTTGGCCTCTTGGACATGCGGAGAAAAGTGCAGCAGAAAAAATACAATCATTTCTGTAGTTCTCCCCCCAGCAGTGGAAAGTGAAAAAAAAAAAAAAAAAACTTGAAATCAAAGTACTTTGCAATGATTTAAATTATAACTTCCTCATTTGAAATAATGCAAAATAAATAGATATGTAAACATCACCTTTTTTTCGTGCCTATCATTTTATTTTTAATATAAATACCTGAACATCTCAAATGTTACTTCATACAAGCCTTCCAACAACATTTATTATCTGTTTCAGCCAGTGAGTATGTCTGTGCGTGTATGTGTGTGTGTGTCTTGTCATGCTGTGTATTATGGAAATGTCCCATTATAACCTGTTGCACCACAAATGGATTACAGCAATCATCTTATGGCCACGGAGCCCATAGCAACTGCATTACAGCTTACACACAATAATTTGTAGGCCTATATCCCTCTTTGGATAAATAACTATAGCCATGAATAAAGGTCACCCTATGGCACACTATGTGATTACGGTTGATCTGCATTCGTTTAGGTTGCTAAAATATCACAACAGGCAAACAAGACTTAACTCAATTGAAGTTCCCTTTTGAATAGCAGAATTTTAGGTAGATCTGTAATGCATCACTGCAAGTTAAGTATGACAGATTGTGATGTTAGTCAGTCCGTTTAACAGGTGACTGATGCGTGCTAACCTGGAGGGATTCTGGTGTCTTCAAACTTGCATTTATATTTTTGGCAATCCAAAAAAAGCTTATTCCATTGATGAAAAAGGCATTTTCTGTCATTTTACATATATTCTTTTATTCCCTTTTCGGTCTATTTTTCGCCCCTGATAGTAAAAACACATTTATATGATGCATTTGAATATGCTGGAGTGCATAAATGCCCTGTGTGACCAGTGAATTATCTAATGTCATATTTACACCATTTGGACCATTGTTTCTTCTTCCTTCTCTAAGCTTTTCAAATCTCCACCTCATCATTATTACTTAAAACATTGTGTGGAGTATATTTACACACAGCAGCAAAAAAACTGCAGAGCATGATGATTTGGTCTTTTTATTAAATCATAGTAAATTGCCTTGTAAATCCTCTCTGATGCACATGATCATACTTTGAAGGCCTTCAAAAGCCTTTTATATGGCTACCCACCTTGACTATAAACTCTGACACCGTAGATGAATCGTCAATCTGCCTGAGATGCTGGTGTTTGTTAAAAACAAAGAGAGGAAATTGAAGTATTCATTTCCAGCTCCACATAACAGCTCACATAAACATAAGTGCACCGATTTGAATTAACAGCAGGGTTCTCTTGGTCTCGACACACTGCATCCCTGTCACTTTTCCCCTCCTGATGGACCAAACTGTTTGCTTTCTCTGTCACACAATTTGGCTTACTGATGCGATGGGACTAATGGATACACACGCACACGCACACACATGCGTACACACCAATAGCAATGGGTGGGCAGACACTCAGGAGTGTCAGGATCGATGCTAAAGCCAAAGGGAGCAACAAGACCTTCAATTTGCATAAATATACTGGGAAGGATGCATGTTAATACACCTACACACACACACAAGTTACAAAGATTACACGTTATACAATCAAACACACACACCCATGCATGCTTACAAGCCTCTTGCACTGACACTACTTGTAGTTATGTATGAAAAAGAACCTCCACCATTCCTCGACCTGCGAAAGGATAATTATCTGCATTTGATGTCATCTTTTTGCTTTGGTTTCCCCTTTATTGCAAACAGTGACTGTGATTATGTCCTATATGTCACATATGTGTGCATATGAACACGTGCTGATTATTGTGTGAATTGATGAAATGTAAGTGTTTGTTAGTAAAATGCAGGCTTGGTGATCCCACTCACCTTTTTATGTATGTGTAGGAAATTAGGTAATTTTAGGTAATTAAGTGCTCTCACTTAACTAATTTAATCAAGTACAATTTCATAATTTCACTCTAGCGTTTACTCTTGAATGTGTGCTACTACACCTCTACTCCATCACATTTGGATTTCTAACATTAAAAAATGTAAGCCTTGTGCCTCCTGCAGAAAATCCTTCGCTCCCAGTTTTGACGTTAAAGTCTGAGTCCGATCAGTCCACTTGATTTAATTAAGGTGAGATTTCTCAGATTCATCTTGTGAACTTTGGGAATGGATGATATCCCAAATTGTAAACTTGATGCATCAGTAACTACAACCCAACAATGGCATTTAACTACAAAGGTGCTCTCGGTGGAGTGCAGTGACCTGCCAGCTACGTCTGCAATGTGTCACGAAAGAAAGGCAAGTAAGAGGCTAAACAAAAAGAATTCCACTGTGGCTAAATAATATCCTCACAAAAAAAGAGAAGGGAGTAAAATATGTCTACGAGGTAGAACACATGAGTCCTCGAACACGTTTTAAAATACAGTTACACACAATGCTCGGATCGTTTGCTCAAACTACATTTTACCAAAAATTCTCACTTTCTTTACTCTTACAAAAATACAATTTTGATTTTATACTTAAAGGATGTTAATACTTCTTCCACCACTGGTTTGTGGACCTGTGTGTGTGTGTGAGATGTTTGTCAATGAGATGTTCTTCAGGCCTTTTGATGATACGAGGCCTGTGTGGGAGAGCTCTTTGCCTCTCTTCCTCTCCTCCCTTTCCTCTTTCCTCGCTTATATTAGCTCCATAAATCCTGTTCTAGGCGGATTGTTATGGTCATTGTGTGTGCTGTGAGCGATGGTTATTATCTGCCTGCTCCGCTCGCGCTGCTTTATGCGTCCTGTCTGCTCCCTCCCTTCCCTCCCTCTCTCTCTCCCTCTTATTCACATTATATGCTCCTCGCTCTTGCTGCCTTTCCTCTTCTCTGCGTTATTCTGCTTCCAAGTGCACTCTCTCGTTCCCTCACTTTCCCTTATCACTCCATAGGACTTTTTGCCTTTTCTGTCTTTGGCTCGCTGATGTCTATCTGTCGTGTGCAAGCTTTCCCCGCTACACAAGCACAACAATTTAGTCTGTAAAGCTGTTGAGGAACCTGCAGTCGGCGAGTTATTGACGTTGAAATCTACCCATCAATCAGTGAATATGACACACCGTAGCTGAGGTTTTGTTCCGCTAAATTTGTGACACCCCGGTTTTCCTTTACGCCCAGCTTTGTGATGTATTTACAGTATAGTGTCCCTCCACAGGAAATTAAAAAATAATATCTTTACAGTAAAAACGGTCAGTATCTGTGAAAGAAAGCTGTCCAGAGATCGGGCTCGGCTAGCAATGATTTATTATCGTTATGATGGTAATAACAATACAATCATTATTTCAGTCAGATAAAAGCACCTCACTGACGGTTGTGCACACAAGTACATTGTGTTAAGAACTGCGTTTTCAGAATGAAAATGTCAATCTGAAAAGAACGAATGCCTTTTTTTTGTAATTTTCCATAGGGCCCAGAGCGATGTGTGAGGTGCGTCCATTTCAAGGATGGTCCCAACTGTGTTGAAAAGTGTCCCGATGGCCTGCAAGGCGCCAACAGTTTCATCTTCAAGTACGCAGAGTCCAATAACGAATGCCATCCCTGCCACGCCAACTGCACACAGGGGTAAGAACAGTCAGGACAAGGACGAGTCACAGGTGTGGGATTCAATGGTCGGGACTCTGATAAAAAGAAATACGATTCATCCGCTCCTTCGTGAATCAGAAGTTGGAATCGTCAATCTATGAAAGATGAATGAAACCAACCAGTGATCATTCATCCAGAAAAGAAACAATGCAACATTTCCACCCTTTGTTTGAGATTATGGTGACTAAGTATAAGAAAAGATTGGGTGACACAGTTTATTGCCAATAAGACCTGTTTTTGTTTGGTAACTTTAATGTCGCAAAAATCCACAAATTGGAATACAGGAAAACTTCCAATAGTTTTCCTGTCATCACATTAAATTTACCCCATGAAGCCTTAAACGTTTCTCCTGACTAAAATGTTTAATTCGATAACACACGTTATAGACTGCATAGCCACATTGAATGCTGTCACAGGTATTATTAGTATTATTAGTAAAGTATTTTGCTTTGGTTAATTATGACACTCAAATTCCACTCAAAATCTTTCCTGTGCCGTGTCTTGAGTGAAGGGGTATGGATTCTTTTTCCTCATTGTCTCATAATAAATGCATTTTTCTCTCATATACTGTACATAGTGTTTTATAGGTGCATAATCAGAAATATTCCCTTGCCCTATCCACGCGCGCCGATAGGTTATAACGATTCAACAACTTATAGATTGTATGAGAGATTAATACAGAGGCAAGGCAGAAAATGATGCTGAGGAGACAATGAATGAAAGTTAGGAGTCATCAAAGTCACTTATAACAAGCTCACTAGCCACTGCTCGCTTATATTCAACAAGAAATGGTAAGACATCATTTTATATTGAGCTCCACATGGAGTTGATGTCGCGTCCTTGTGTGTTATTTCTACTCTCTCCTGAGTGACAGCCTCCATCTTGCTTGAGCATAGCAATCCGGTCGTGAATGGAAAACAGCGGGATGACACTTTGTCAAAGGTACAGCTCCGTGAGCAGATCCGCCGCTCAAATAAACAAGCTGGGTGCCGAGAGGAAAGGGAGACAGCTAGACAAAGGGGGAAAGAGACGGACTCGGGTAACAAAAGCCGTATCCTGGCTAAAGGGAGCTTGTGTGATCAGAAATCCGACCAACACAACAAATGCCATCCTTGAATGGAGTTACTTTGAAAATGATGGACGGACACATTTACATCGTATTACAGTACCTTTTCATTTGCAATGCGCTCAGAGTGACAGTAAAAGAACCATTTACTCAAAAATGGATTATATATAGTATTATACTTCTCTGAAATGTGCAACATAAAATGAGTTTCCTTGTACAAAATGAATAATACAAATGTGAATCTTATTATGGACTGATTAATCCCATATCTGTGTATGTTACTAAAGTTGTGAGCTATAACACAGGACGGCTATAGATAAAAAGGATTCAAGCCAACATCTGTGACCATTCTCACTAAAGTCTGTATGTCACATGACATGGGTTGCTTTATTAAGCTGGCAAAGTGGAAAAAAAGGCCAGTGAGGGTAAATTCTCCCATCGAAAATGTAATAAACTGATATTACATTTTGGATACATATATATATATATATAAATATATATTTGTTTTTTCACTAATCATCACCGTATTGCTTTGCTCAATACAGCGATGCGGCATTGCTCCTGTCTCATCATTTTCAGATCTGACAAACTATAAATGTCTACATTTCTTCGCTTGTCCCATGCTTGTTTACCCAGGTGCATTGGACCAAGACTGCAGGACTGCATTGGCTGGATGGACAGGTACGACATTCATTTCCGTGTGTCGCCTTTCATACGAAAAACACACTTTTACTGTAGCAGACACGTACCCGAAGAATCACAGAGAGCAACGTCTCTGATTAATGGCTCGCTGCAAGGTCCAAAATCCCAGAGTGTCCTTAATGCCTCTGTGTGTGTGCATATTTCAATGTGTTCGTGTGTGTGTTTGAGAGTGTTTGTGTTTGTGCACGCACAAGCACTTTGCCTGGTTCTTGATAAATTGAAAGGGGTTTAGCTTTTGTTCTAAGGCTTCCGAGGGGGTGAGGAAACAAAGGCAGTTTACAACAAATGGATTCAAGATTGCATAAGAGAAACAGTTTGGTATCGAGTGGCTCTGGGAATTCTTGGATGGTGTTTTGGGTATAATATTTTAAAAAGGAAAAAAACAAGATTTACAGGAAGGATGAGCAGCCAACAGATAAGAAATTACTGAAATTACTCAGACCACACATACGAAACGCACTGTCTTGCGGTGTAGCTTCAGATTAAAGCTCCATTAAGTTAAATACAAACGTGGAACTATTTAGTACAGATCAATAATCAGCCGTTTTGCAACCTTTTACTGAGGAAATAAATGCATAAGTAACATCTTTAGAGAAAAACATTCTCACTTTCCAGAGATCTGCTAAAGATCAAACTTCTCAAAATAGTCTTTGGGGCAACAACAATATGAAGGTTGAAACAGCTTGTTCTTATTTCTGTAGCTACTGATACCTGATACTAAAGCACTGGATGCCCAGAAAACCTCACTCTTGGTTTCCTGTTCTGAGGTGTCATGCGTCTTGAGGTAGATCGCTTACCTGTCGGAGATACTGACTTTCCAACACAACTAAAATATCTCATCAGAATTACATGATTAAGCTAAGCCTTCAAAGGCCATCATGCCACCTTTGACGTACACTTTGTGTGGAGATTGTGCGCATATCTGATTAAGCCGGATTAATCCCTTTGCGTCACCTACTCATGTAATATTCAGTTTGATGAAATGTTCTTCCGCGTCTAACATGGTCCCATCTTTCCAATTTGAATCAAGACAATCAGAGCTGCCTGTTGCCTGATACCTCTGTGCTCCCCGATTGGCTCCTTGTGCATGAACGCGTTTGGTCGAATCGCCACTGACCTTTCATGTTGATTGATTATCGATGGACTTTTATCAACGCGTGCGGCATAGATACAAACACATGCGCAAAGTTTGTAGTATTGGCTTTTATTTTGGTTACAAAGCTGCAATCAGCAGACAGATTGCTTAGCTGATCCTAAAACTGGAAACGGGTGAATGCAGCAACGCTGGCGTTGTTCAAAGAACCGACTGTAGCAGCGAATCTAAAGCCCACTACTTCAGACGGATGAAACAAAGTAAGGAACCTGTTCAATTTTAAGCTTTAGAGAAGCTGAAAAGCTGCTTAACTGTGTTATCCTGTTATACTTAGCCTTACATCTTCTCTAGCTTCGTATTTAATGAACTGATATTAGAGTCGCATCAATCCTCTCAATTAACTCAGTTACAGAGCTGAGAAGCATTATATAAAATATGCCGTAGTTATATATTATATCAGATTTTTCCATACATTGCACATTTAAAAATAACTTTGTCAATGCGCTCCAGGTGCGACGGACACGTGATCTTGGTGTATTCTTGCAGTCTGTGTAATACAGTCCTGACCAACAGTGTTTTTCCTTTGATTAAGGATGGAGTCTCAGCATGCCTTGATCAAATTAAGTTCTTTGATTAAAGCAAAAAACCTAGCGGGAGTTGGGTACTGCAAAGCCAACTCCATCTGCTCATTTTCCCGCAAATACTCTAGACAGTGTGAAGAGCATAACAGGGAAACTATCAAGAGGCTTGATTTCAAATGACAGCCTCCGTGTGGTGGTGAGAATTCACTTTGATGGTTCTCTTCCATGTTTCTGATCACAGCGTTGATTTTCAGGCGAGTGCGCAGAGGGACGTTTCTTACCAGATAGAGCTTATGAGAAAAATAATTCCAAACCGGAGGTGAAAAAGGTTTTCAAAGGACCGCCCACATAAGCATATACTCCGAGACATGTTCGATGTGTTTGTTGAAGCCCACTTCCGTCTTTTTGTCCTGATCATCTCTGACGCCGACCCCCTGGAGGTAATGCCTCGTGCTTTGCCATTGCCTGCCTGCTCGTCTGCCTCTTCGTGATCTTCTAATTTGCCTCCTTCCTTCTTTTTCCTCCTCCGAATTCTTATCCTCAGAACCCCTCTGATCGCAGCGGGAGTGATCGGCGGCCTCTTTCTGGTGGTGATCATGGCGTTAAGCGTAGCGGTGTCTGTGCGCCGGAAGAACATCAAGAAGAAAAGAGCCCTGCGTCGCTTCCTGGAGACTGAGGTGAGCAATGGAACGTCGAGCTGATGTGTGTACCATTGAAAAATGTCGTCGGAGGACTGTGAAAGACTGTGGATCAAGGACATTATTTTTTATTTCATTCCTCGTGCACTGTTGTCTTGTCGTCCATTGTCGTACTGTCTGTACCAACCGTCAAATTCCTTGTATGTCTGACATATTATGGCAATAAATGTTTCCTGATTACTGATTGGTGGGAAGTAGTGATTTGACTTACATGTGTGTTTTTGGCTGGCTTTTCCATCGCTTAGGATTTAAACTCGAGAACAAACATAAAAGTAGTGGTTGAGGATTAAGAGGTACCAGGAATATATTTGAACAGATTTGACAAAGGTCCTCACATGACACAGTTGTCATTAATTTGGGAGTCAAAACACTGCTTGAGGACGTTTGTCTCAATTTTTACAAATCTGTGTGTAATCTCGCTGTGTGCGTGCGTGCGTGCGCGCGCGCATGCATGCATAGCACACACACACACACACACACACACACACACACACACAGTGTGCACAGTGGGAACATGTTGTATGCAATTAGAGAAAGACGAAGATAAGAGAGACTTCACGTCTACAGACGGTGACTGCTGAGGTGGTCAGATACTCGTAGGCTCAGGTGTTTCCTCTCCCATAGTGTTTTGGAAAGGACACTTCTGTTTGGAAGAGGTATGAGACCATACCATTAGAAGCGGAAAAGGCACTCTCCCTTTGTGTTCGAGCAAGAAGAGCACATCATCTAATACACTTGTGCGTTCATTTTGAGAGTACGCTGTGGTTTCAGCGCTTTCTCCCCCCACAAGTATCCTTTAAGTGGCTTTGTCAATAGCTTCTGTAATGACAAAATAGCACAGATATGGCTTATTATCATACCTGCAGTTCTCTCATCTATGCAGAGAGTGATACTTGCACTGTTTCTTGATCAATGTCTTTCTTCACATATTTTAGTTAACGGCGAGTATTTTACACACAGCATGCAAAAGTGGTGCATTTTAATTCAGAAGGATTTGTATATTAATTAAAAGAGAATAATTTTTTTTAATCATGAATGAGACAATCCAAACATGATAGTGACGCTATAACTCGTATGACATTAATGTGATTGTTGCGTTCTCTGGATATTTTTGGTTCTCCAGCACGGTTGATGAAATGAATTGATCTTTCGTGAGAGAAGAGCAAAAACAAAGTATGGATAAATCCCAGAGCCGATGAGCTCTACACTGCCTCCACGTCCTCCGCTCCTGTAATGCTGAACAGCTCCCAGCTGTGTGGAGTAACCGTGCTGTGTGTGTGGATCATTCCTGAGACATCTGTGTTGTGTTGTGTGTATTTGTACACGCTTGCGTGGCCCCCGCCTTTCTTGTTTCCACCCCGCAGAAGCTGATTTGTTATTCCATTTAAATGAAGAATGGCTATTGTTTTTAATCAAATGGTAACCATGAGCCAGGGGGACATAAGTTGCCAACCACCGCCAAGCTGATTTACACTCTTGCTCAGTTTCCCCATCATTGCCCTCCCTCCCTTTCTAATCTTCCACTCTTCTCCTAATTCTTTTTATATTGCTCCCTCTCTTATGCTTTTGCATCCTCTGACTAATTCAGCCACCCGCTTCTCCATCGCTGTCTTGTTGTTTTTGTTTCTGCCACATTTCCTCCCCGTGCCACTTCTTCCTCCTGCCCGCCCTTCCTCCCTCCCTCCCTCTCATATAATCTTTCTCCCTCACTTGCTGTTAAATCAGTCCGTTCCTCCACTTGAGGAGTAATGAGACAACAAAGGCGTCAGGCTCCACAATTATCCACCTCACCCACCTCTTTTTCTCCCTCTTCATCCACCTTCCTCCATATCCCTCTTCAGTTCACGTATTAAATCTCTCACTTATGATATTGAAATGATAATTGAACTGCATGTGTCTTGTTGCAATAACAATGTAATTGTAACCCTCCTATCACCTGAAGTACTGGGCAGTAGGCAGAGAAGGTGATTTGCCTGATAAGATGAATGGTTTGGATTAGATACAGTAAATTGAATTGAAATGTTTTATTACTTTAGGAAATAATCCTTGTTTGAAGATGTGAGTAGCTCCATAAAAAACATTCTTAATAAAAACTTTCCAGGAAAATGCCTTTTTGCAACTAATTTTGAGGATTAGGTATGTTTTTGAATGGTAGCAAAAATGTACCTAGACATGAACATTATTTGATGTGTTTTGTGATTCTATGATCGTCCTTAAGCAAAATCGCATATAATTGCTTAGAAGTGTAAGTAATATTAGGTTTTTCGAAAATGTAACATGTTCTGTTTTACTGGATGTGTTTTAGCTGGTGGAACCTTTAACACCAAGTGGAACTGCACCCAATCAAGCCCAGCTTCGTATTCTGAAAGAGACAGAACTCAAAAGGGTCAAGATTCTCGGGTCTGGGGCCTTCGGGACTGTTTACAAGGTAAATTCACAAGTTAGAGTTTGCGTGCGTTTTCAGGTTGTACATGAACAAATGCTCGAGTTGAGATCATGAAGCGACTCCTTAAAAGAAAAAGAGGGACAGGAGAGACGAACTGCAGAATCGTTAATGGCAGGAAATGAGACGGTAGGGAGGAGGAGTGCGATGAAAAGAATAAGTAAACAGCAGACACTGAGACCCCCAGGGTTACAGGAGGTATCCGAGGTCACCACCAGTCTGATGATGAGTTGGGGAGACGTAGAGAAAGACACAGCTGAAAAAAGGACAGAGTCTTAAACTGAAGTCATCATTGGTCTTTTTGTAGATGCATAAATTCAAAGGTCCCAGAAATCAAATACAATCATTTCAAATCAATATCTTGCACCTTTCCTTGGGGAATCTCCGGGCATCTCTACGCATATTACAGTATATTGTCCATCGTGGAGAGAGCACCAGGTTTCCTCGCGTGGCCTTCAGAGAGCTACTTGGATGTTCCTCCTCTGGATCCTCTTGGGGGACATTGGGTTCATTTTGAGATATTTCCTGTCAGCAGCATATCCTGCCAACAGTAGCTTATTGTCCTTTAACATCACAATGAGCGCCAGCGCAATCTGCTTTACAATGGACAATTCATTTTTTATTGATACAAACTGAATATTTATCCCTGATTGGAATAGAAGTGACAAACATCTTTACGGGTAAAGACTCGCCGACTTTAAGGCGCGCTCCCACAAAGTCTGCGAGGGTTTGGGTGTAGCTTCTCTCAAATTGTTCAGTCATTGGAGGCTTTCTGGGAGAAAGCACTTGAGCCCTTTCCATAAGTCAGCATTAGATGCTGACTTTGCCCAAAGGAATTACCCACAAGTCAAGCGTGAAAGCATGGAGATATACAGAAAGCTCAACAAGGAGGAAGGCACGATGTTTGCCTCTTTTCTATTTACACAGAGAAATGAAGGATTAAAGATGTAACACTATATTTTATGTAGTCATTTAAGCTGTTTTGACCCAAACCAATAAGATCTTCATAAATTACCACTTATGCAGAGAAGATGGTCAAACCAGGCAGTAAACAAGTATTCATGTATTATTATTATTATTATTATAAATCAATGTTTTTTTTACGTGCTGTCCCATCTACATCTTCACCATTTTACAGACTCTTACACTCACCCATTTACCAGGTGACGTGAGGGCAGGTGTTTTAACTCCGTGATCAGAGGTGTCGGACCTTCTGTCACTGGGGATATGTTGTCAAATCAGGTCAGAACAAATGGTGGAACACAGTTAAAAAAAAAGTTGAGAGGCACTTTATTTCTCCCCTCTGTTAAGCTTTGGCCACTTTGGCAGCTGCTTATTCACTTTAATACCACCTGAAATTGGATACTTCAAAATGATTAAATAGATTTGCCTGTTTTTTTTGAAGGGCGAAATCACATATAATCATGCAGCATGCAGAACATTTCATAGCAGGGAGGATATGGAAGATGGTGATTAAGACAGCTGACGCCTTCAATGTGAAAAATCCATTATTTATTAAATGAGATTCATGGTCGAATCTTTAATATGTTTTGCTTGACAATATGTTAGCGAGTTTGCTCTTGTTGACTTTGCATCCAGTACAACGACTCATCGTCTGTTTGTGTTTCATTAGGGCATTTGGATCCCTGAGGGTGAATCCGTCAAGATTCCTGTAGCTGTTAAAATCCTAAATGAGGCCACGGGACCAAAGGCTAACGTTGAGTTCATGGACGTGAGTATCTTCAACAACTCCACAGTCAAGAAAGCTTCTTCTTGTTTTCCTACAGTTTAACTTAGTATTGTATGAAATGTATTGATATTAACGGGAGCCATATTTGGTCGGGTCAGTACGTCAGATCCAACAAATACATGACAGGGAACTGCTGCCTTGGTGCATAGACGCATTAAAAACACTACTCAGTAATGTATAAAGCCCACTATTGATGGAATGGAGCCAATTGAACAAAGTTCAGACTCCACTGACACCAGAGGAGAACCCCCCCCACACACACACACACACACACAAACACACACACCATGCCGCAGGCACCGGACCCTGTGCAAAAGGCCCTATTTATAAAATATTCACATCACGGCTCGTTTCAAAAGGAAAATTGAAAGAAAAAGAAAATTATCATCCTGTGATGATGCAATGTAGATGAAATAGCCTCCATTCATAATTTAATGCTCTCTGTATTTCGAGGGCTTGTCTGACAAATCAGAGAAGCGGTTATCAGTAACGACACGATGTGGGGCTTTACGCTATAACAGAGAGATTTAATCTCTAAATATGCATTTACTGGCTAAACATGCGTTATATTACTATGAATTGTCTGACTGTGTGCCCACCATTACCCATGGCCAGGTTCTCACCCCCAGTCTCCTTCTGCCAGTGTCTAAAGAGTGCAGGGTGGTCAGCAAGATTTTCATTCGTGTACATGTTTACAGGCGCACAACTAAATGTGTGCAATCACAATAGCTGCTAAAGGCAGACATGCAAGGTAAGAGAAGACAAAATCCTGCTCAAGGCTTGATTTAAAAGGAGAATCCCTCGTCTGTCCTTGTGTATTTTATTCAGTAAGGCCGTTCTACATCACACAGGCTCCGACCTCTACTGGGCTCTACGGGTAACACTCCTCCCAATGCTTTAAATCACCAAGACGCCCAATGAGAGCTTCTCTGGCCAATTAAGTCGCTCCGACTGAAATACGTTGCCCTCAGCGTGGTCGCGGTGAATGCGTCGAGCGGAGATCAGAGGCGCTAATGACCCAGATGAGGGTCCTGCTCGGAGCAGACAGACAGTGCAGAAGTTACCGAGTGTGGAAGGGAAAAGCTTCGCAGAGACAGAGTAACACTTCACCATGGCAAGGTTCCCCCACCCCCCCACTCCGGTTCATGCTGATGGTGTTAATAAGTTGCGCTGTGACTGTATTTCGGTTTGCCCATGATTGGAGGAGAGGGGATGAGATTATCTAGAGAGTCCAGTGGAGGGCTACGGCGTGTTTACAGAGATACGGTATCTGTAACCGGGCTTTCCCTCCTATATGACATTATCTCTCCTATATCTCATTTAATTAATATTTTGCTCAAAGTTAGTTCTGTATGAGTATTAAACTGGACATTATTGCAAACAATTTATTCATAAACTTTGTTATAAATCAGATTTGTAAAGCACTTGTCATAGTAAAAGCTACAAGGACTTTATTCTTTAAAAAAAAAGGGCAAAAGGACTAAACAACTGTGTTCTATGAAAAGAAAATAATCTTCTTGAGATTTTTATGTTGTTTATGTTTTGGTCCACTTAAACATAAGTTGAAATACATGACACACAAGTATTTTAATATTTCCTCAAAGTATTTAATGGGTTCAATTCACATGAATATACATTCTACATTACATTTGAGTAGTTATGACGTCTTTACTCAAAATAAATGAATCTCACAATTTTTTTTTTTTTAAAGCAAATTGGCTTTTTTACTTTAAGTCTTGAGGCACTCATTTTTAATTCAAAGACAATAACAGAAACCGTAAAATGTCCTCAATTATGGTGTAATTTGTTTTTGTTATACGTTGTGGTTGTATCTCTTTCGCAGTGCGTTTATGTAATATAACGTATTATTTATTGTTACGCGGAATACATAGTATAGACACATATATATTGTGCAAGCTTGAAGTATGTATCATTTGCATGAGGTTGCATATGTTTGTATGATACCACGATCATATTCTTGAGAAATAATAATAATATGTTTTCTTATTCTAAAAATGCAGCACATAAAGATGTTGACACTGCAGGCAAGTTCAAAGCTCTATCAATAATGTACTGGAGCAACGTCTTCAAATGGACCCTTTTTACTGTATGGAAGCATTTTTTCTAATATCACCGGTTCAGAACTAAGCAGGACACATAATCTACAGGAATCCCACCTTTGTGTAGTTGCTTCATTTTTAGTCACTCCAAAGCACGCTGACCGCCTTGTGAAGCAGTGAGTCACTTTGATGTTGAGGTCATGAATAAAAATAGGCTGTTTCTTCAGGAACCTCGCCGCTCGCCTCCAGAAACTTCAGCCTTAAAGAGAATAAGGGATCATATGGTCCGACAGTTCAGTTTGTACTTGTAAACATAATAAACTCACCGTCATTGGGCTTCACAAACAAACAAGGACTAGCCAGGTGGTGCCCGCGTCTGCAACAGATTTCCAGGGTGAGTGTAACTCTGTCTCATTCAGGAGGCCCTGATCATGGCCAGCGTGGAGCACCCTCACCTGGTCCGCCTGCTGGGCGTCTGCCTGAGTCCCACCATCCAGCTGGTCACGCAGCTGATGCCTCACGGGTGCCTGCTCGACTACGTCCTCGAGCACAAGGACAACATCGGATCCCAGCTGTTGCTCAACTGGTGTGTCCAGATTGCTAAGGTAAGATTTGAAATCTTTGTACAGTTGTCTTAGTCGCTGTATGGTTGATTGCTCTGGTGATTGGTTGATTGCTGGGTCAGGTTTATGGCAACCTGGTGCACTGGCTGAGAGGTAAAGACTTGTTTTGAGCATTTTTAATTAGTGGATTGTATTCACTACTTGCTGCTTTTTTTGTATCCTTTAGTGGATGAAATATGTGAGTCACACATGATGATTTGGATTGTTGATGGGACGTTGAACTCTCAGTGGATCTTTACTGCAGACTGTATGTTCTGCACTTACTCACTATATTCACTTAAATCCCTCATCGCATTTTGAATTCTTACTGTAAATGTATTTGCGTTTGCTCTGGTAACATGTACACACACACACACACACACACACACACACACACACACACACACAACCACTGAACTATCCATGAGCCCTATTGTGAGTCACTCCATTGCTTCTGGGGTTAAAGGAAGATGTCTGCTTATATGTGGTAGTGTCCACGATGATTACTCTAGCCTCTCTGTAGAACTGAGGTGAATAATTAAAGACCAAGCTTGATTTTGGTGGTGTTGAGTGCATTTTAATTTGTTATCCCATAAATGGCTATACAGTATAATGGCTATATAAATGTATGTATTCATATCTATATACACCTCATTCACCTTTGTCCCCTATATTATATACAGTATACATAGGGGACAAATACACCTTTTCAATAACAGATCTCCTGTTCTCCGCCCCAAATTTCACCATCATCTCGCAAACATGATGCATTTGACAAATTGCTGGTGAAATTCCTATGCGCAGAAATCAAAGTAATTGGTTAAAAAGCAGCGTGAAAATGACGGAGCATATCTTGGACAAATATGTCTGTCGCCTTGTTTGTTTTATTCAGAGGGAGGTTCTACTGTAGCGAGCTTCTATGGGAGAATATAAAATCAATTAAACGTTACATTACAGTAATGATCAGACCACACAAAGTGTTTTCTTCATACACCAAAAGCGATCACATCATGCATTAATTATTGCCGTGCTGACAAAATTCCCACGCTGTGTAACACAAACATTTTCATAGTATGGAATTAATCACACAAATTGCTTTGTGGAAAAAGGATGTAGATCATCTATTTACACATGAATAAATATATGCCCGCTGTGAACAGTTGTCAACACGGTGGGATGTATAATTCATGAAGGGTAGATATGAGGTTGTGTTATTCAACATTGCTATTCTGTGTCTCAAGCGGGTATTGTTTAATGTGTTCAATAATTGGCTCAAGCTCCTGGGGCCTCAAATAGCCATCAGGGGCAAGGTTTAATAAAGTGCCCACGTATGGGTTCATATTCACAGAAAACGAAAATGTCTTGCACAATGCGTTTATTTGAATACTGCCAAAGAGATGAAACAGGATTTCCACATATAGTTTTCTTAAATGAATTTATCTGAATAGTGAAAAATTTGATGGTTTCATTATCATTATCACGGATGTATACATCCTCTTATGCGGGGTCGCTTGCAAGTGACAGGGCTCCTCTTTCTGAAGCAACATCCCTGTGGTCCTCCCACTCTGTCATGGCCGCCATCACAGCCATAGATTATTCATGCGGTGATCTGCCACAAGAGTCGTACTAATGAGCAGATTCATTAGAGCCACCACGCATCCAGGGCTCTGATGCCGCACAGTGTTATTCTTTTTCTCTTCCCTGGGTCTGATTTTTATTTAATTTTTTCGCATCGCTCATCATGTGTGGTTACTTTTTAGGTTTCTTCTCAGTTCAGCCACTCTGGTCTTCTTGTTTATATTTACAGAGTAGTGTTGCTACGATTTCATATGTTTGACTTTAGAGCCACAACTTCAACTTAATAAGTGATCTATGGTTACATATGACAGTGGTAGGAAATACAATCATCAAATCAGATCTAGACACACATTTGACTACAACTATTTCAGAGGAAGGGATATTCATTTGAAAGCTTGGTACGTTTCTCTCAGTTGGTGTTACCACTTTCAATTTTCTTGACGCGACTATACATAAAGTCCCTGTTATCACTCTAACAACAATAGTCACAAAAAGATGGCAGATTATATAATTACATGAATACATGTATTTAATTGATTGATTTACATTTCTTGTTGGAACAAACAAATTGAAAAAAGCAGATTATCATAAAAATGGATGAGAGTTTTTTCAAACAGAACAGAGAAATAGGTCACAGAGTCAATTTAATCTGCAGTTCAACACAGTTAATGTGGCGTCACCTGCCAGTTATTGCTGTTATACACTTCATGCCATGGAAATGGGATTGTGGCTGTAAGGCATCCTGTAATAATACATCAAATTATTTTGAACTAGTTAGAAGAGACAATAGAGAATAGATGCCATACAAGGGAAGTCATATAATTAGCAGCATTTGCACGAGTTGTAGATAACCGCGACGGTGCCATCGCAATTCATATTCTTGTTAATTATTTAATGTAAGCGCAACCTATTCGTCCTTTGAAGGAGGACGTTGTCTCTCACTACCTGTCAAACTTGTTACAGAATGATGCATCATAACCATAAATCCAACACCACTGTTTAAACAACCCCAGTTGCATGGCGGGGATACCTCATTCAATCACTTTTTACAGCGAAGAGCAAAACTTTCCTACTCCTCTCCCCAACATGCTTTGGATATCCTCCAAGACAGGTGCTGTAGTTGTGTGTGTGTGTGTGTGTGTGTGTGTGTGGTGAGAGGGCCCAAGCTGTGTATCACAGGGTTATTTCTCTGTGTAAACCAGACTAGGCAAACATGCCTCTCTCCAACTCATCATACAATCCCCAGGGTTCCAATGAAAAGCCCAGTGCACTCCCATGTCTTTTCTTCTCTACTGTCTACCTCTACTGTCTCTCTGTTTGTACTTTGCATGTGTATTATTTTTGTTTTTCTGTCTTTCCCTATAACAATATTTTGTAGGTACAGATATTATTATCACTATATTAAATAGGTACAACAATTATACCGGGAGGCAACTAAGGTCTGTCCTTGAATTGTAATTACTTCAATACATTATACAATTTCTTTTGTCAATCAATGAAGGATGATTTAGGAGACATTTCCCTTGATACAAGGGATGCTTTTGTTTAAAAATGAACCTTTCTTATCTCAAACATTCAAAGTCTTTACTGTTTTGCTGTTTAAACCATTAAAGCGATAGGAATCAAAAATGCAAAACATTCTCGTTTTTCTATTGATCTTTTAACCAAAATGGTTTTGCAGATCACTCAAATTGGCGTGACCGCCAATCAACTTGCACTTGTTTACAAAGTCTCCTTCCCCTCTATTCTCCCACACTTGTCTTCTTTGTACAAAAGACTTAAACCCGATTCCGAATGTTTGATTACAACCAGCACTGGCAGATAGCAGGCGATCACAGGCGTCGCACCTTTGATGCTCCCCGTAGTAATGTCAACAAGTGCCCGCCTATCTACTATCCTCCCCCCTCTCTCTCTCTCTCTAGCTGTCCCTCTTTCAAACCAATTTATTCTGGATCTTTTTTTGTGATCGTCTCTTGACTGCAAAAATAAGTGTACGATCCAATGTTAGCAATTAGAATGCTTCCGTTCCCCAGAGCCTGAAAGCCATGTTTGATTTGTGAGCTGCTTTATGCACCGGTTGCAATTCTCATGGAAGTGGGGGATGGTTCAGTAATTCCCGAATTTTTATATTGTACTTATTGTTTATGTAAGTGGTATTTAAGCATAATTATTTCATCTACAATAAATGCTAATTAATACAAGGAAAGACAGTCTTAACATATTGGGCTTTTGATATAATGGTAATATGTTGCTCTAATCACGAGGACATGTTCGCTTATTGAAAATTGCACACGCATAGCCGGCCAATCAGGACATTCTACTTGAATAAGTGCAAAGCCCAAAGTTAGCGCATGACCTCAAGGCAGCACACGTCCTACATCCGACACCCTCTCCAGCAGCAGAGAGGAGGGTGTGGAGAGCTATAAAACTAGGTTTATGATATCATAATCTCGTTCTTACTCACTGGGCATTATGGGCACACTGGGCGGAGCCAGATGAATACCTGCCACGCTGCGACGTGACATCAACACAACCGCAGTGATCCTGACCTTCTGTAGGTTACCCACCAAGCAGCTGTACTCCCTGCCCGCCTAAAGGGGACTCACTCTATCGGGCAGCCGTCCTGCCAGGGGTTTCTTGGGTATGTCCTCAGTGGCCACACAAAGCACGCAGACAGCTGTTTGCTGCTTCTGATGGGGGGGATCTTTACTGACAGTCACATACAATATTTCAAACGCATTTCAGGAAGCGAGGTCCTGATGGGCCGGATAGTTCTTGCAAATTTTAAGTGGGAAAACACAGTTACCTGATTGGAAAAGAGCATTGACGTCCAGTGAGGGGCCTGTTGGCTTAGAATTGCTGCTGTTTTGAGGGAATACAAGTAAGTTGAGGTGGTTAAGCTATCTGATAGGGATCGACTCAGAGAACTTAACAGTAGGCAGAGCGACATCTGGCCTTGTTCAGGCCGCTGCCGCCATGACCCGGACCGTGATAAGCAGTGGAAAATGAGCTGATAGAAAGATGGACTTGTGAGGTTTTTTTATCATAAAAAATTTGAATAGAAGAGAAGGACACCCAAAGACTGTTTGGTCTGTCAAACGCACAAGCAGACAAGCCAAGAGGAACAAGTTTTCTCTCTCTCTCTCTCTTTCTCTGTTTTGCAACCTTCTCTGACTCGCACACATATAACAGTGACGCAGTTTTAACTGCGTGAGCCTAGACGGTTGAGGCTAGATACGGCAGTGGGGGAAATGGACGACTGCCGGCAGCCCACACAATGGATGACACATGCAGCTCAGGGAGACACGTGTACACCAGTAAGTGACTGACAGATGCGCGCACACAGGCACATGACTGCAGCTGTATATCCAAATCTGGCAAACGCAAACATTAACAAAGACAATCCATGTAAATGAGTTTGATTA